TTAAAAAAATAAAATAAAGAAAACCGCAAAGGCAAAACATCAAACGATCACTATGACACTCGACAATTTAAAGGGCCCACTAAGCATGCATACGTAGTAACTTTAAAAACTTAACGGATACGTCACATGTTAATTATGTAAGTATACAGAGAGCCGCCCCGCTGCACGCTTTTTTTATTTTATAAAAACGCAGTGAAAAGGAAGAGCGGCTTTGACGTTTCAAATCTAAACGCGTAAGTGCTCTCCGGACGGGTTATATGTTTTCACAAAGCGCGCTCTTTCAAATTACTTTGAATCCCGTATAGATTCGCGGGCGCCCATCCTCGTAAACGTACGAGCTTGTGTTCCTTACACTAATTACCGAATCAAAGAGGATTTTCTTCAAATTTGCCTCGTCATTTGTTTTATAAAAACAAACCTCTTTTGTAATAACTCTTTTAAACTACTAAGTACACGACACTAGGTTGGTCATGAAATAGTCGATTTTTGCAAACAAGAAAATATATAGTTTTGAATGGAAACGTTACTTGAAACAGCATTCATTGGCCATATTGTCGAACAAGGATATCTGTTCTGATGAGAGACGCTGCTACAGCGGTTAGTTCGGTCAGAAAATTTATGAAACACATATGCATGGAAAATGGAATAAAAACATGACATAACAGCAACAGTGCGGAAAGAGCCTTGTAACATTTTTTATATTGTCTGGAAGGCTGGCGAGCTATCGTAATTTAGTTTGACTTATCAAAAGCCCACCGGGACATATGTCCTTAGCTATAGATATATTAATCAGCCCTCTGACGTCTTATTAAATCATTCAATATTTAAATAAAATTTCAAATTGAATAAGATAAGACAAACTTAAATTGTTACTTGCCAAATAAAACGTATGCAAGTTTTCGAATGTTGAAAAGAACCATCGTTCTGGTATTCGATTAGCGAATCTATTCAGCAAAGAGCCGGAACATTAGCGCCACCTGTGCCCCGGCGTGGCTCTGAATCAAAGCGGGAACTAATGAGGTGTGTACAAGCGGAACCTACCAGACATCCGATCTTTAAGAGAACTTGTAGATGCAAGCTTAGTGCTGTGAAATAGATTCTTCACTCGCTCGCTGCTTTTTCAACGGTGTAATTTTATGTTTGGAATACTTTTAAACTGAGATTTTTTCTTTGCTGTTTTTATTTGAGTTATTAAATAAAAATATGAGAAAGGTATGACTCGAAAATTGTATTTGAATTGAAAAGAAATAATCAAAATTGATATTAGGTCTCCTTTTAAATAAACAAAAGTACTTCTTAGATATTATCTTCAAAAGTTATAAAAAATGTTTAACTTCAAATTAAAAATTATGAAAATAACCTTACATTTGTAAACTCAAATTATAATTATATTAAATAAAAAAAATGTTCAACTTCTATGGCAAATTGTACATTTTTTAATTCATATTTCGGGCAATTACACAAGACGATTTTCAGTTTCAGTTTCCAAACAAAATATGAATTAGGCAAACAGTTCTATCGAGTCAGTATCTGCAATTCTCGGGTGGAATTTTAAATCGTCTGCAACGGCTTTATACCAGTTTAGAGCGCGCCGTGCGAGCCTTTGACGTTCTCAGACGGCCACTTACATCGGGTAACTGTTTTTTCAACATTTGCCTACACTTGCTTAGCTTGGGATCTTTTCTAATGTATATTTTTCACAACTAGCTTACTTTATATACCTCTATAGTATATATCTATTAAGTTAAAATTAAGTAATGAAATTAATTTTGCTTACTTTTTACATTTTGATCTTGTAAATCAAAGGTATAAAATATCCATACTTTTTCGAATGGCAGCGATCGTTTTGCCGTTTTAGCGAAATTAGTTTGCCGCTTGCCCATTTACCACATAGCACGTGGAAGGAGTATGAAAAAGTATGTATTTCTTCTTCTACAATTTAAGTAAATTATAAATGTAACTAACTTAAAACCAATTAGAACATACAGTATGCTTATTAATCTCATAGGAAGTCAAATTAACATCTCTAAATTTAATACAGTCAGTCGTTCTCTCTCGTAATATTCTGAACATAGGATGTGTTCTTTGTAAACTACTCCAAAGTTCTGTCTGGTTTGTTTTCCGAATAAATCTCGTTAGCCTTTAAACTAGATTTCGAAACATTTTGAAATAACTTATATTTTCTTTCGATTTTTATATTTATAATACATTTTACATGCATTTAAAAACAAAGTACTTATTATACTACGTTATTTGTTAGAACAGTTTCACTTTTTTTTACTTTACTTTACTTTAGTAAATCCCGTACGAGGTCGAGGGATGTTTGCTAATGATAAACATTTCAAAATATTTCTTATGCAAATATTCAACGGAATAAAATATAAATAACATCGAAAGCCGGAAAGGGTCAGTCCTTGAGACTTTTAAAGTCTCAATTGGCTCACACAAGTTTCCCAGGCACTAAAGCTATAGGTATACTGTATATAGCTAATTAGACTAATTAGAAACAACTTTTTGTAGGCGGTAAGCCGATACTCTCTGAGTGGGGCCGATAACGAGAAGTTTATAAAGGCGGTCGGCGATCGCGCACAGAGATAGCGGCCGTCTGATTGCTGGTGATGTATTATATTTGTTATGATGCCGTGCCGGGCTTGTATCTTCATGACGTTTTAGACTTTTGACGTGGAAAGTTGACCGGTTTGTGACGAGGGATGTGTGCATGTAGGATGCGAGATTGTTCATTTATTTTATTTTATTTTATTTTATTTTATTGCATTGTGTGTTAAGTTTTGGTTTTAGTTTGCTGTTTTCTACTACTAAGCACTTACGTTATTTATTAGTCATTGACAAAAGCTATAAGAATTTCGGTAGTTTAATTCGAAACCGAAAAAGAAAGAAAACCAAACCGTTAAGAAGCCTTGACTTTACCTGTATTAAAAAAACCTAATGACACTATTTGTTTATGTTTCCCGTTGGGCCGTTTGGCCCACCGATCCAACAGCCCAGTGGGAAAATAACAAGTTTAATTAAATTTCATTGCAAGTAATAAGTTTTTAATTTCTCTATTAATCACTTGGCTCTAATAGTTTACTATATTTTGCATTATAAATTCAAATACAATATATTTGTATGTTGTATCCGTTACAATAAGTATGTTACAATATTCATGTAACTTTCCTTTGAAATATACAAAAACAATTTTGTCAACGTTAATTACACTTGGGGATGCAATTAAAAAGCTATGGTGTTATCAAAACCGCAAAATTCAAAGGACCTCTGACTGTGTCCACGCGACCTACGACATTTTGCATTAGTTCGAATCCAATTTAGCAGGCACTCGCTTTGACTAGACTGAAAGCGTGTACCCTCAGGTCGAACCTTGGGCCCATTGTGAACTGTGAGGGGAAATATCAAAGTGAAGTCATTCGATTGGGACTTGAAAAGATCAAATACGTGTCCCGTTTTGAGTACATGTGACTTTATGCATTTGTAGGATAGGAATTTTTATGCTATTCCATAGTTATTTTGGGGATTTGAAGATGTTATACATAACTAGCTATTCGGTAATGATAATAAGGAAGTAAATAGAAACATAACGTTTGCACAAATAAGAAATTATCTACTTGAGAAAATAGTTAAAATAATGATATTTATAATTAATAAAAACTAAGGAAATTCAATATTGATGAAAATATTTCTATTTATTATAAAAGTCTTAAAAATATTTATAAAAACTTATTTTCTTTTTGCCTGTAATTCATTTAAGTATTTAATTTTAGTTTTATTCAGATATTAGTACTAAGTACCATTGAATAAATCTAGTTTGTCGAGACATGACTTGTCACCAATAAGTAAGTTAATGTAAATTAGTTAACACTTATTCATGTTGAATTATTAACAAGCTGTTAGCATTGATATAAATAATTTGCAAGTAATTGGCAACTGTTAGATGTAATAACGATTATATATTTCTGACATAATTATATAAGAAGACACGATTTTGTACTTAACTAGGGTAAATAAATATACCGAGTTATAGGTACTTTTAGAGGTAGAGTTTACAAATTACAATAATCATAATATGTCATATTAAAAATATATCTAATTTATAATTTTTCACAATTCAAAAGATTTAAAAAAAGAACACAATTCAAAATATTTTATACCGGTTTCCTGTTTAAGAGTAATTTTTCCTTATTCAAATAAATTTTCACATGAAGAAATGTGCGTATCATAAAGTGACTACTAATCGTCTAATTTAATTTACTCCAACTTTTGCAGAATAATTAATTTGTGTTGACATATTATGTAACAGATTGTTCAAGACACAATTGTTAGAATACTTAAGAAAGTATGAGTTACATGTCTTATTTAAATCAATTTATTAGAAAATCAACAAATGTTTACGGATCATCATGAAATTATTAATAGTTTACACATAGCACATCGTCGTAGAGCAAGCATAGAGAAAGCAATCTCGTCCTACAACTCATTCTGATTTTAAAAACAAAACAAACAGAGTCTGACGCAGAGAGACTACCGTTCAGTTGGTGTCGTGCTGGGTGGCACAGCGCTCACTTATCGCTCCCCAATCGATTCATTACCGTGATCCATCGATCAATATCGCCACTCACGACTACAACAACTATTTCTGCTATGCAACAATAGATGGCGCTCACAGCAAATTCGGAATTACCAATTAGCATCGGCTCTCTCTTGAGGATGCGGTACTGATTGTTATTAATGACTTGGACCTACTCTTTCGACGATATCTGACTTTGGGTGAAGTTGCAATTTTAAATGCAATTCTTTTCTTTATGCCTCTACATATTTCTGCATGCAACTAATATTGACATCGTATAACGTTCATAATTTTTGCAAAATTGGTACCGTGACGTAAAGAAGGGAGATGAAATCTACTTTTATGTGTTACTCTTAGACGACATCATTACTTTTGTTACTTTGCTTGGGTCATTAAATTACTATAAATTTGTCCGTAGGTTAGCGGATGTCGTAGACTCCGTGGCAGTATCTGCGTGGCAGCGTCGTGGTAGAGCGTGGCAGCGGTGGTAGCGCTGTGGTAGCGCGGTAATTGCGCGGTGGTAGAGGGCGAGCGGGCTGGCAGGCGGCGCGGTGGCGCTGCACGGGGGCTGGGGGCGCGCGCCGGCGCCCGCGCACGCCGCCACGCTGGTCGGCGGGCTGGTGCCGCCGCGGGAACCCACCACGGCGGCAGAGGCCTTCTGGAAAATGCCGCATAAAGGTAATTACCAATCAAATTATTTGTTGGTTAGCAACGTCTACGCCATGTACAGGTTACTCATATACCTTAAACTGTTTCATAGCCTTATGTCTTGCTAGACTTTATTCACGTTTTTCGATTGCAAACCATGTCAAAAATCAAAATTAACATAGGCTAGTTATAAATGGCAAGAATTTAATAGAGGCTGCAGCAAGCTGAAATGTTGTACGCGTTGGCAAAGAAGTTGAAACTTGGCCGCAAAACACTTGAACAACGCAGCTCGTAAAGCAGGACCCCAGAACTGGCAATAAAGGAACTAACTAGGATGCAACTTGTACCGCACAAGTCGACAATAGTTTACAAGTTAACAATATTGGTCCCGTCTCGCTGTCACGGCGTCTTGACGAGGTTTTCTTAACTTTACGTTGAGTTATAATGATTCAATGAGCTCTACCGTTTCGTGTTTCAAGTTTGTTAGTGTTAAAGTTAATTAAAAGTAGATACAAAATTTCAAAGTTTGTTTACACATAATTTTTGCTATTTAACGTCAGAATTTACAACATGGGAGGAATGTAACGGATGGTAGAAAAACCTAAGTTAGGTAAAAAAATAGGTTTTTAGCATTTCTTGATGACATTGCGGTCAAAAGAGAAGAATATTAAGAAAGTTTTGACTTATCTAAGTTTTTATAATCTTTTTTCATCAAATTACTTCTAAGACAAAAAAAATTATGATCTCAACTAGTATAAAACTTCTTTGTACTTTAAAGTATAGAAATTGTTTATTAACATTATTTTAAAAAAAAACTTGCCCTGAATGAAATATTCAAATCGTTAAACCGATATTAGAAGTTAAATACCAAGTTAGTAAAAAAAAGTCTCGTCGTGTTAGAACTTACTTTGAATAAGTAAGTGAATTTGTAACTTTCCAAAGTGCGGCATTACTTTAAACGTTCACTTGCAGTCTTATTAAGAGATAGATTCAAATATGTTTTACATCATCATCAGCTTACTATACGTCCCCACCGAGTGGCTCGGAGCCTACCCTAAGTTAAGGGTGATTAGGCCATAGTCAACCACGCTGGCCAAATGCGGGTTGGTTGACTTCACACATATCTTTGAATTACTTCTTAGATATGTGCAGATTGCATCACGATGTTTTCCTTCACCGTTTTATAAAATGTTTTACACTTACTTGGAAGTTTATTTCTTACCTCCACTGTATTTGTGCCGACGTAATATATCCTATATCACACAAGGAAAGAAGACGAATCGAATGATATTCGAAAAAATCGGTACAGTTGTTTATAATGTAAGCTATCACATAGACATTAATTTACATTCACCCCTACATACCTAAAAATTTATATACCCAAGAATAACATTATTTTCTTGAAAATTTACATAAGCTAATTAATTTGGTTTAAAAATATTATAAAAATGTTAAACTTACTTGGTTTCGATACAGTTCGCAGCTAGAGAGGGTATAGCGACATCAACAAAAATCCAAAGTTTTAGCGAGAGGTTTCAATATGAAGTTTGTTATTAGCACGTATTAAATTTTTTCACACTTTTTTACCGTTTAATATTATTTTTATGTATTCAAATAATAATTCTATTCCTTGCATGTCCTTGTCACATTTTTAATTAATTTAATTTAATATGTAAAGGAAAAAACAATCTCACAAATAGCTACTAGGTTAGATGCAAAAATGTCAGACCTCGCAATTTGCATAAGTTGACATGCACATATAACAAATAAAACAATTCGATTTGCAAACGGAAACAAAGATTAAAGCATATCAGAAATAATATTTAAATTCGGTTTGCGTCTTGGCTGTGAGCGCGGTACAGAAATATAATTACAGTCGTACCGAAGTCGAGCCAAGCAAACCGAGCATGCGACGATTGTGTCACATTAAGCGACAGATAAAGACAAATAGACCGGAAAATCGGTTGCCAGAATGAGATAAACAGAGTTTTCTTTACCACGCCGTTAAAGGAATTTTAATGATTAAGTACCTCTTCGATTCTGCAGACCTAGTACTTGATGCGAACTTGTTATTTTCCATCAATTATTTTGAAATAATCGTAATTAAGAGTTTTTTTATGATAACGATAATACAAAAAGTAATACAAAAATAAGTAATACAAAAAATAATGTTTATTCCTACAAAGGCCAAAAAAGAAAAAAAAAATTTTTTTTATTTAGTTAGTGTCTGTTTTATTAGTTCAAAATATTGTATTTACTTCCTAGTGCCAATTAAAAAAGTTCATATTTGAACTTGAGTGACGGGGTTCATTGATGGATAATTTTAACAACAGCATTTGCTCTAAGGCCCTTCATGTATAGCTACCAGAATCTGCGAAAGTTTGAGTATTTTGTCGCTAAGAAGTCGCTATACCTGTACTGACAGAATAGACGACTTGCGTCGACGATTCAATGTTGTACTCGCGACGTTTCCTCACATACGAAGGGCGTCAGATGAAATTTTATTTTCAATAGTCAAAATGAACTTCGAGTTAGACAACGAGCTTGTGTCATGAAAAATGTAATAAGGAGAAATCCGCTTTAAGATAATCATAAAAATCCTAGGAACAGTAAATTAATTTAAAAAATTTATATTGTTTTTTTGCCATTCGTGGTTTTATCAACTTATGAAAATAATTCTTAAAACAAATGACGTTTAGTAAAAAAACGTGTCATTAGATTTATTAATTTATCGTATAAAAATAAAGCTGCATGACTTTAAAGACCTTTGCCGCGTTGTCCACGTAAAAAAACACAAAGGAACGCCACGACGCATGCGCCAAGCCCTTTTTTATGCGACCCTGTGATGTCCGTTGACGGGTATTTTATAAAATGATATGGGACTAATTTTTTTCCATTCTTCAAAATTGTTTTCCATCCAATAAGTCAACTTGATATTTTAAATATGAAACAGAAAGTGCTAATTCTATATTAAGTTTCAAAATTTAATTAAAAGTGGTTTTAAGTATGTAATATTGACGATAAACCAGATTCATAAATAGACTTATTTTAGCCAGTACTTAGCATATAACTCTTGTTTTTCTTTGATTTACAAATAACAGCCAGTTTTATATTGCACTAGAATGTTGGAAAAATAATTGCATCTGTACTCATCTTGTATTTCGTATCTATGCCAAAAAGAAACAAAATAAAACGATCTTTGTGTCAAAAATCGCAAACCTTTTTTCCGTTAAACGCACATAAGTGTCAGTGTAGTCGCCATAACTCTCTCGAGCACTGCATCGTTTGTCAATAACGTTATTTTTTCTCACTGCCCATACACTAAAGGGGGCGGGGTTGACGATATGCGCCGTAAATTATGTCACAACGAAACAAACGATCCTCGCGCTGGATGCATGAATGAAACGTTAAAAGTGTTTTATTTTTATTGACAAAAAAATTTCAACCGTTTGTAAATACGACTTGTAGAGTTATTGACATAGATATATTGATATGTCATACAGTTTTCGCAAAAGATAATGCATTTAATCAATTTTTGTCCACTTTGTTAAGAAAGTACTGGTATCATATGTGCAATGATAGTTAATGAAATTAATTGGCCCAAACGAATCAGAGCTATATTTGATAAAATCAACAACATGTTTTAGCACAATTTGTTATAGGTGTTTGGGTATATCAACGCTTTCATACTTCTATGCTTCGCTCTATAGATTTTTAACGGAATTTCTTACTTAAATTGAACATCAATAATAATAGTTCAATATTTACATCAGTTTGAATTTATTACAATTTATTAAAAAAGCAAACGAGTTTTAAAATTTACATACCTACTATTTTTTATAACTTTTAAAATAATACTCAAAGTAACTAACCGTAAATGATAACAAAAAAAATGTTTCGAACCCCGCATATAATCCAAACGGGATTTGGATGCATCCAAAATGGCGTTTACTGTCACAATTAAACTTCCCCCTATCTATGGATTTAAGCAATTCAAAAACAGATACAAAATAATAATAATTGGGGTAGAGGAGGTGGGGTAAGGGCCACCAGGTGTGGACTGTCATACGCAGGGTTACGACCCTTATATACTAGATGTATATAATTGCTTGATTAATGTTTAATGTAATGCAAACGTCTAGAATGCCATTCTAAATATAACCAGTTAACAGATGTAAAAAATAATATCACAGTAATTTTGAAATATTAAAAGCCTAATTTTGGCTTAATGTAGTAGTGCTATTATAAAATCAAAAGTTTGTCGTTTAATTTAATGTCTTTTCTTTTTCATTTGCAACATGTCTTTAGTATCGTAAGTAAAAGAGTTTTGAAACCGACTTTTAAATATAAACTTTATATTTAGTAGGTGTGTATTGAAATGTATCCAAGTTGAATAAATTGCATCGTTGTACAATATCATAACACACATATCCAGTAGAAACTTAGGTACCAAAACATCTAGCCTGTTTTCCCGCGTTTCGAAACTCCGCCGTGCAAAAATAATAGTGTAAAATAATAAAAATAAACCTACAACTATACATAAATTTATAGAGTCGCGCCCATAAAAACGAGGATTAAAAATAAATCGCTCGAATAAATTGCACCTCTGAAATTAAAACACTCCCTCACACGACACGCGTACATGGGCTCTATGCGTTTGGTCTAAGCGATAGACGAATTGTCTAATAGCTGTACCGATTTACCTTTGTCTATAACATAATTAAGTTATAGTTAAGTTAGATTCAATGTTAAAAAAGAAAGACATTAAAATGTCGTTAAGACAGACTAATTAGATTTTACACATGCAAATATCGCTTAGATGTTAACAATATAAGTTGAATTTCGATAATTTATTATTATTAAAATGTCGTCTGGATCGCAAAGAGTTGACAAAGTTACATAACTTGGTTGTTACATTAGCGATATTTTCAACTACGTAATTAACCTTTGTCAGTGCAATGTTGGGTACAGACGAAGTCATAATTGAGAACAGCTGGTTTATATTTAGGTAAATATTTTTATATCGAACCATTATTTCATACCTTTTAAATTAAATGATTTCGAATATTATTTGATTAAATTTTAACAAATGTTATAATCTTACATATATGTAATAAATAATCTAAAACTTATGCTTAACTCTAAGTGAAGTAACTCGCTGACGCTTACAATTTGTGTGTATGTAAACGCGGCGTGGGGGTCTGCCCTAGCGATTGTCCATTGTTCTTTTAACAGCCGCCCGCTTGTTAGCGCGACCAACGAAAGGTAAAGCACCAAGAGGTGTTATTAATAACAGGCTTCGGCGTGAAAATACGTCACTTAATTGGCGAACGTCGGCACTAATTCCTTTTTCGCGGGGCAACGAACGCGACCAAAATATTATTATATATTTTTTAATCACGCTTCTGTAAAGTGGATCGTTATGATTGTTTTACATGAGTACAGCGTACTCTGTTGTTTATTTAACAAAAAAATTCTTTAAGCTAAGCTCCTTAGATTACCTTAAACATAACTTTGATTAGTCTGTCCAATAACCACATATTTTAAATTGGATTCAAAACAATTGTTGAATATCTCTCGACAAGGAATTAAAAATAAATTTATAATCATTCGTCATCTGTTTAGTTCCATGCAAAAACTCAAGAGCCCGACTCAAGTGCACCGGTGCAAAATCCTTAAAGCTTAGACGAAATCTTTTCAAATAGTTTCCTTTACCAAATAATACGTATCTCCACAAAAGTGGTCAGGTATCCGTTCGCCTACGCAGATACCTCGCACATCCTAAACAAGAGTATTAAAAAACCTTAACCCGTTTAAAAAAATAATCCGCTTGAAGATAGTAAAAAAGGATTTCAAGATAAAAAAGGTTTCGCGGCGCTCGAAAGAAAACCGCAAATTATTATCTAATCCCTATCGAAGTGTAGACCTACGCCTTATTGTGGCGAATGATCCTTTACTTTTTAAAATATTTTAAACAAAGTTAAGCTTTAACAGATCGTACATAATAAAAAAATTTGCTGTTGACAAATATATGTATCATAATTTACTTTGAACTGTAAAATGTATGCTACTTAAGTCTTATTTAAATCATCCAAAAATTCTTCATTACCTATATTAATTGGTAAAGAGTTCGCTTTAATGGAAGCTCATCAGTATAATCATTTAACGTACGCCTTTAATCTGGACCAAATTACAGATGTCCCTGCCATGTGACAGTTGTCTGCGCACAATTATAAACTTTCCCGCCATTTTTTCGCGCCAACAGATCTCAATGGATGCATTAGATCGGATGTGTTCAGCCAACGGACAGATAATTCCTTTTTTTACCCACCCCTTACAAACACGCCTCGCGGTAAAAAGTGAACAATTGGATGCAATTTGTGGGCGAATTTAGGGCAGGCCTTGATTAAGGCCTTAAAGGGTAGGGGGTCGACTAAAAGTTCATTGTTTTGCGCCCTTTTTATGCGGTCGCCTTCGATCGTAATTCTGTTTAGCCAGATTGGAATGGATATCCCTTTAATTTAATATTTCTTTCCAAATTACATAATTGGTTTATTTCCTTTGCATTCGATTAAGAACAAGGTTAAGCTGTACGCATGGATTTAGGAATTTTAAATATAAAAAGAAAATATCCAGCATTAACGTTATTTCTTACTCTAGATACGGTTCAAAATCACTTATCAAAATTCTCCTATTAATTCTGAAAATATCCCAATCGCTTCTGTTCTTCAAGCGCTTATCTTTAATTTGGTTGGCTATTACTTAACGTAATATTTCTATTTCAGAAAGGATATTTTAGAACCAAGTATGATACACAGGGCCTCCTAATATAAAATCTATCATCTTGTCCAAATAAGATTATAAATTTATAATTTACTTTTGCTTCGTCAATTCTTCATAGTTGTTCTTGAAGTTTCTTTATTACAAATCTTTTCTTGTGTTCGGAATTCATATGCGCACATTAATTGTTAATTAAAGGTGTATTTGTAGACGAGCTGATGCACAGCGCGGCGATGGGGAGCGGGGCGCTGTTCGGCTGCTCGTCCGCCGGCCACAGCGGCATCAACCAGCTCGGCGGGGTTTACGTTAACGGCCGACCGCTGCCCGACTCCACGCGGCAGAAGATTGTCGAGCTGGCGCACTCTGGCGCGCGTCCCTGCGACATCAGTCGCATCCTGCAGGTCTCCAATGGATGCGTCTCCAAGATACTCGGCAGGTCAGTTTATTGCACCAATTAGTTTTTAATCACACCTATGATAAAGCTCGAAAGACTCATTGCATAGAAAATTGCTGTGTGCTATGCTGTTGCAGAACCAAACTTTTCAAAAGACCTATTTATAGTCAATAGTAATATAGTCTATTAATATTTCTGCCTAGGATTTTCCGTCTTTTTTCTCAACTACGAGACTGAAATTTCCGTAGTAGGTTTGTCGTCCAGTTGTCTAAGCCTCAAATTTCTGTAGATTATTTTAAATGTTCGTATATTAAAAGAACCAAGAAATATGATGAAATCTTTACAATTTCGTATTATAATAGAATTTTCATGAAACAATCAAACATATGCACCCATTACAAAGACGTAGACTTCATTGTAGCGTCAACAAAACTGTAAGAATCGATTTTGTCAAGTAAGATGGGGTCAAATTCTTGGGACACGCGTTAGCAAATTGACATGGTTCCCATAATGCCCGCAGAGGTACGTAATAAAAGGAACAATAAATGCGGACAGAATTAAGGAAATATTTCAATGACTTAATCAATACAATACGATTATAATAGTTTGAGTTTGCATTCCCATAGTGTGGCGGGGTATTGTTTTTACTGAATGGACGCATGCTCTACGGGTGAGGTGGGAATCGACACAGGGTGCTTTGGGGTGCCGATACTAGGGAGTTCTAATTTCTCCGACGATTTATTGTGTTTGATTGTGATTTTATCACGAGGATTTTGGCCCTCGCTCTTGATTCCAAATTTAAAATGCTCATACCAAAGTTCGAAACAATCTTGGGGATAAACCAATGGGATAAGTTAATACGTTTTCGATTCCAATAATCTTACTTAAGATATATATAACAAAGATTTAACATCTTACTTTTATGTTTTTGTATAGCTTTATTGCCTTTTTCATTCTTAATTTTTAAATTATTTTTTCTTAGACTAATACTTCTTAATAAAAAAGTTTTCAACGTTTTAGTTAATTTTAAGCCGAAAGTACTGTTTACTACCTAAATAAAACAGTTTTAATAATTATTTAAATTTATTAAACATACATATGAATTAAAAATTATAAACGAAAAGTCAATACCAAACAATGAACAATATCAAAGACTTGTGTTGAAGTGTCAATCAAAGAAACTGGGCATTTTAATACAGGGTGTGCCTTGCAGGGTTGTCCCACGACCGCCCCTAAATAAAAATGAAAATACAACATTATTTCGTGGTAATTGGCACCCCTACTGCGGCAGACTGCTTGACGCCACTTCAAGAGATCTTATAGGAAAGTGATTTGGCCGGGGGGGATCACTTCGCCCGCGGCCTCGGTCCTTGCAATTGTAATGCTTTCATATAAAACAAACAGTTGTTTTTTGCAATTGTCGGAAACTACACATATTATAACTTCAATGGAGTTACAAATACCGTCATCTTTAAGTCAAGACATAGACATATTGTTTTTATATCGGGAGCTTAAAAGCTCGTGATAAGAATTCTGTTTCTGCCTTACTTTATTTATAACAGGTGCAAATTTGTGTATAATTCCAAGTAAATAAATCTAACTCTATTCCATTCTGACTACATATGACAAGAGTAAAATTTTACACAATTGAACAATCCTATTGTTATAATTTAATTACTTACGCATTACATGTGTTAGATTATTGTTTAATAGAGGTGAAGAGATTTAAGAACCTGGAGAGGAAAAAGGTTTATTCAATTAAGTTACTAATTTTTATAAAACAATTCATCAGCATAGACTTAAAAAATGGATACTATAATGTGCCTGCGTGCATCCGCTACCTTCCCGTCAAAGTCATGTCAAAATCGGTTCAGTCGTTCCAGTAGTTACCCAGAACAAAGGCGGCCTTACGAACAGACCATACATGAGATAAAAAATTTAAAAATTATTTTTCATTATTAGCAATGCACTTTTATTGACATTATGGGCACGAAATGTTTTTTTAATTTAATACAGACACTTCAATTATATTAACATGAATAGATAAATACAAATCTGTCAGTTTTATCCGATTTTCCGAAATCATTACTTTACGATATTCTCATCTGTATTTCTATTGTTTCTTATTTACTGTGGGTTTCATTGCAATTATACTATAAATATATGAATGAAAGGGATACAACTGTTACTACAGTGAAGTTCTACGGTGAGAATTAATATCTAGATTAATTTGTCACTTCAATGGGTTAGATCATGGTAATTTGTGAAATTTCTAGTTGGAAAGCTGTTTGATTGTATCAAATAAAACCGTGGCTGTAAATGCACCTCATGGTATTTTTCCCACACACCCCTAAACATTCTTATCGTGCCAATTACTGAAAGGGGTTACTTCTTGGGGGTCTGCAGAAAGGCAAGCGTGGCGGGAATCCTAATTAAGAAGCACCCCCGCTGTTTGCCGTTTTATTCTTGATTTTGTTTTCAAGTGCTTAGCTCACTATGTGTTACCCGATTGGATCTTACGCCGGTTTTTTATTCTTTTAAATTTATTAAAGTTATTTTTATTCATCATTTACTATAGTTGAATTGCTTTAATTGAATTATTACGTATTTTTTATTATTGTTATATATATTATAAAGAAAAAAAATATTTAAATGATTATTATACAACGATTTAACACATTATTCGCTATTGCTTAAAAATTTCTTTGATTCAAAATATCATCTAAACATTTTATAGTTATAATTTCAACTAAAATAGTTTTAAGCCGTTCACCAAAGTGCTTAAACGCACAGCCGTTGATTCACAGATAATCTCTGCAAAAACAATTTCCGATAAGAGTTCTATTAATTTTGACCCCCTGGAAGATTCTGAATCTAATCTGCGACCCCCCTCGAGTTGTATACAAGTATGTCGCAACTAAAAGAAGATATTTTTTGTAATACAAACGCAGTTATGGATTGCTAACAACAAGTTAATGATGGTAAACGATTCGGTATCGTATTATTAGAGCTGAACGCAACTGATTTCGATCAATTTATTGTTGTCGTTTGCAATAAGCGCGCGGTTGGACGACAAATTGTTCGCAATTTCTGTGCCGTCGATCTATTGTCCGATTTACCGGTATAAAACCTTTTTTGTAAACTTACTTATAATTGGTACACGGAATTCATTAATATTAAAGAGTTGTTTATCTTTATATCTTGTAACTTTTGTCATATGCATGTAAAATAATTTGAAGACCACGTGTAAAGTTTTTAAAACGTTTCTGTTATATTAGAAGTGTATTATAAATCTGATCTACTCAATTAAACTGTAGTTTTACGCGCACAGCGAAACTTATTCCTAAATCCTGTGCCCAAGGCGAAAGCGATTACTCGTTGCCCAGGGCGACGGTCCTCGACTAATAGTCCTCCAACTCGAGTATTATCGACAGATGACACGCGCTACCAATATTGTTTAGAAGCGTTGACATTTTACGTTGTTATTTTTAATCTGCCTCGTTTTTTTAGAATCTGGCAACTTTTTCGAATCTATTTTGTTTTTTTTTTCGCTTTTGTTGATTTAGTGACGTGTGCTGTCAAACGATATTTGTTCGAAATTTTTAAAAGCGGTTTTTTTTCTTTTGATTCTTTTTTCGTTTTTTTTTAAAGTAAGTATGAAGGAGGAGTAATTTGTTTAAAGTATTTGCTTAAATAAAGATGATATTTAACAACTTTCTTCTTAATGGCGTTTCAGTTTCAACATCTCTGTTTTCTTAAAAGGGAACGTAGAGGATGTCAATATGTGTCGATACAAAGCAATGGAAACACACAGTAAAGAAAATATATAATAACATCTGCATTAACTTCGATAAATCGGTTGTACAATGACTTTGTACATCCTGTACCCAAAACTCAATCAGCAAGACCTTTGCAAGTCCTGACAACCTTATGGCTTTTATTATAAGATAGATTTTGACACAATATTTCGTACTGGCAAACGAAGTTGAATGTTTGTATAGGTACTTCAACTTAAGAGGATAGTTCAGGAGATTGTATTGGTAATTGTGTACTAATGCCTTTTAAGTGGGGCCTACGAGAAAATGTTTTCTATATTTATAACAGTATTGTAAAAGAATTTTTTATTTATTGAATAACAGTTGTTCAATGATGGTACGGAATAAGGGTGTTTTAAGAACGAGATATCATTCTAGACATATTATTCTTGGGATTTTACAACATCGTTTTTATTTAAATATTACTTCTTGATTTATCTAATATAAATTGTAACATGTCGAATGGCGGAATTCAAATCCTGAACCACGTCAACAGATGTCCTTTTAAGCATCAGGCTATAGGCGCTTCAATTAAAACTGATTCCACTGACTTCTATAGATATCCGCTGGGCAGGTTGTTACTTAGAAATGACAGCTTTTATTTCATTCTGACATCTGTATTATTAGTACAAGCTTCCAAAATAGAAAGAGAAGAGCTACCAATCATTGCCTTTACCGCTAGAATGGCGACAATCAAATAGACACAAGTTCCAACAGCTTACAACGTGTCCAGTGGAACATAAAAGTCAGTTTTTTTTATTATCTGTGTAAAATACGATCTCACCACATTCCACAATCCAAACTAAGTTCAGCTTCGCACGCAGATATTACGAGACGGGGTCGATAAAGCCCCGCGCTATCGGGGGGTCTAAGCCGCGGGTGGCGACGACGCCGGTGGTGCAGAAGATCGCCGACTACAAGCGCGAGTGTCCCTCAATCTTCGCCTGGGAGATCAGGGACCGCCTGCTCAGCGAGAACGTGTGCAATAACGACAACATACCAAGCGTGAGTACTGCAACTTACCATGGGTTTCCATCTCAGAAGCATATGTACAAAAACATACTGTCATCTTTCTCCTTCTCTATGAAAAACCGGAGACAACGATATGTTTTATACATATGTTTCTGTAGTAGAGACTTTTTAATGTAGAAATTGTAATCCAAACGTAGAACAAACTCTCTGAACTCAACCAAATATTCAGATGGCATACTGTTAGATAGAAGACAGATGTTTAAGTTTATATATAATAGAATTATCTTACTAAAATTATCGTTTTAAAATATATACCTGGTGTCAATTATCAAAAAGCAATTTAAATAAATGCAGCATTAAATTGATTAACCTTAACTTATGAACGTATCACGAAGTAGCAAAGTTTCAAGTCGATTCTAAAAGTTCACTCTTACAGAGTTCAATTGAGCAAGTCCAATAGTTTGTCCTCACGTTTCTGAGAGATGTTTGCACTGAATTAATTTTAACGACTCTTATACTATCTTACTAGTTTTATAAATGCGAATGTTTGGATGTATAGATGGATTGATGAAAGTTGGATAGAAGGTATCTCCAGGACAGCTGCATGGATATTGCTGAAATTTGTCAATGTAGAACATAGTCTAATACTATGTGTTATTACTAATTTATTTGTTTCTTAAATCCGCGTGGAGTCGTGGGCAACACCCAGTGTTTTAACTAAGAGTCTGTCATGATCAAGCGTGAATTTAATTATTCGAAAACTCAAACTTTTTTACTATACAAAAAAGTAACAACTTTTCCTGTCTTTCAGAATATATAAAACGACCCGTACCTACCACTCATGAAGAGTTAAATCTATAAACTTTTCTTAGTACTACATCCTGCTGATACGAAGTTCATAACTTTCGATAAATCATAGAATATAATTTGCCCCATACCTTTATACCTTTTAGATACAAAAAATATAGTCTATTTAAAGCAACAATGTCCGTGTCCAAACAACTTTCAATATTTTGTTAGATTTAATTAAGTTTACCGAACATATGTCCTGTTATTGTTAAGAATAAGGTGACCATGATTTTACAATGTGTTAACATTAAAATAATTATTGTGTATAATTTGAATTTTAAAACTAATATTTAGCACAGAAATAAGTTAAAACATCTAATCGTCTAACTATAAATTATATAAATATAGTAACAAGGTTTTCAGTTAATTATTAATTATTTATCATAAATGTATAAGCTTTTGTAAATGCTGTACAACTAATAAGTCTGTCGTTCAGAGTAATGAGGTTGTTTAAGTAGTGCCTAAGTACAGATTTGCCTGCTAAATCCACACTAAGGGACAAAGTAAAAACTCTGACCAACTATCACTAGTTAGTAAACATTATTTTGAATTAATTGTTGTGTCCACAATTTAATAAAACAAATTATTTTAAAATCATGGTCACACTTACCGCGTAGTAGTACACAATTGGATGTATTAAACGACAATGCTTGGCCCATAATCCAATTTTATCACATTAAAAATTCCAAATGTTTGGAAGTTGTCTTCCTTTGTCCAGTTGATCCCTTCGAGAGCCAATAATGCATTGGAGTCCGTTCCCCTGATATTATTAATGTTCGATTCATATTAAACATCTTCAATGTTGTATGTTCGAAGTTTATTACGTCTTTGTTGAACACAACAGTCGAGTTATTCAATTTTGTCACATCTTATATGTTCTACGGTTTATTGAAAAAATAATAAGATGAATATATAGTCTACGAAATTTTAAATGGTACTTTATTTTGTTTAATTAACACATTGAGGCATATCATTAATGTTTGGATATTTAATGTAAAATTTATATCAAAAGTTTCGTTATAAATGGAAACTGTATAAAATAGAAACTGAAGAAATTACATATCTTACTAATATAATTAATGTGAATATTTAGATGGATGGATGGATGTTTGCTTGAAAGTATCTCCAGGGCTGCATTGATCTCGATGAAATTAAGCATAAATGTAGAACATAGTCTGAAAGAATACATAGGCTAATAATTAACTTTTTTAAATAACACGCGGATGGAGTCGAGGACAACTAGTATCATATAAAATGTTTATATCAAAAATTGGTTATAATTTTATTCTCAATTAAAATATAACATTTTAAATGACATGACAGAAATATACATTTATAAGCCGACGATCACTATGAAAAATATCGAATACAACGAAAAATAAAGCTGTACTCGAGCTGACAACGTTGGTAATCGAAGCCGACACTTCGAAACGACATCTGCCGGTCGGCGCGCGCAAAAAATATCAAAGGTATATTGTAATTTTTTTTTTCGTCCACCGACATCATTCATCGAGCCAATTTTTCTGTTAATAATGTCAAAACTACGAATGCATTTCGCGAATTTATACAGAACGATGTAAACACTTGGTGATACAATGCAGTTGAGGTAGGTAGAAAAAAATTCGAGTGTCTGTTAAGGTACTGTAGTAGAGTTTGAATTAATAAATTTATAGCTTTACAAATTTATTCCTCCTCGTTTTATATCTAACATAAGCAATTCTTCGTGTACTTGGACAAACAGTTGCCTATCTAATATTGTTCTATTGACAAGCACAGGACCAATCTATAATCAATTTTTAAAAGCATTGTGTGACAGACAGCAGACTCTAAATATATATAATCTTAATTGGTTAGTTTCAATGCAACTATGTGGGCTGATTTAAAAATAACAATAATGGCTACTTGAAACAGTTCCTTTACTTTGTATTCTAACTTGTTCGTGGAATGATCTACTAAATACATTATGACAATACATTGTAGGTAACTTTCCTATCAAAAACAATTTATCGAGTTATCAAATAATATTCTCAATAATATCCTAGGTATAAAATTCAAACAACCACACGGTGTAACAAGAGGTCGGACGCTAAATTGAAATGCCGAGGGCTCGGAAGATTCGGCGCCAAAGGGGCTATTTTTATGACTACCCACGCATAGCCCACTGAGCAAATAGACGAAAGGTATGGATAATACAGTCCCACACGTGTCAGAGCGAGACAGAAGCTCACCGCTGCGTAGCTCAGTCGTAACGGTCGAATGGGCGTTCTGTTTCTTACAGACGTTCAACAAAAATACGCGGGACAATCGATTCCATTTCGACGACGTAAAGACTTAAGTCGACGCCATCTCTTAAGTTAGACAATTCAGATCTCCTTACGGCGGACCTCTTTAGTTGCAGAACTTAGTACTTGTATTTTGTATGTAGGTATTGTTGATTGTGCTATTTTAACTTTTAACTTTTACTACCTTAGTAGATATATGAGTTTTAATAGTGAGGTTATCTGAACATCAAACGGTATTCGATATTTAATAGTCACTTGTTTCACTAATTTGTAAAACAACTAACTGTCGCCCGCGAATTCGTACGCGCGGTAATACAAAAAACTTAGGTAGCCTATGTGTTCTTCCAAATATGTTTCATATGTGTGCTAAATTTCATCAAAATCCGTTGAGCCGTTCTGGAGATACCTTCAAACAAATATCCATCCAACCATCTAAATATTCGCATTTATAATAGTAAGATTCCTGTATACGTTAATATATCAAAATGACAGTAAGTAAGGTTAATATTACTATTTGAAATTTACTCTTAATTTATTAATGAAAATAGAAAAAAAAATGTTCTTCCCCAAAGTTGAACCTAAAAACATTTTAAAAAGAGAACCAAGTTCTTGACTTACGACGTTCCGTGCTCAGGCTTGTGTACCATAATGCCACGTTTCACGCGTGAGTGCACAGAACATTTGTCGTCGCATTCACACTCGCAGCGATCGTATGTAGGCATGCACCGGACTGTATCGCCGCCCTAGTCACACGGATTAACGTCAACGACTCGTAGAGGCATAGGAATTGATGGCTAACCTCCGAAATATTCACTAAAGTTTCTAGTTGATGTGATATTATTTGTGTCTGATGGCTAATTTAATATTTACCTCTCATTTATATTCAAACATCTTATATAAAACTTGCAACTCACAACTAACGTTATCATAAACCTTAAACCATTTGTAAAAAAAAAACAAGAAAGTTTTTAAAATAACAATGCAATTTCAACGTGATTAGCACACAAAATGCTATAGCGTGCATCCGAAACGTGCGGTCAAGGAACGTCAAATTTTGGACACGGCCAATTTGAATTTGGAATTCCTGTTCGAGGTGTTTGCGACAGTATGCAACACGACACCGCCGAAACGCTACCGACGCGCAGTTTCGGGGCTTCTGCGTGCAGTGTACTGTAATATGTAGCCGTATGTAGGCCGGTTTCGTTTTCGTTAACACGCAAACGACCGTAATTGGAGATTATTTTGTTATGCATCAAATTTTTATATCGATCAAAACGTCAAACTTCGTTTTATGACCAAAACACATAGAACTCGGCATAGAGGTAGTGTGCTTATTTTCAAAATGCGAAACAAAGTTTTTGTCAACAAAAACATCAGCGATCGAAGCTAGACTATGATTGCTTTAAAACAATAAAGATAAGATACAGTCTTAAATAGACAAATTAAGTAAAATTGAGTAAGCGTAGCATTGATTCCAGTTAATAATAAACTGGATTAGAACACGTGCCTCGTGTCTGTTGCCCTCTCCGATACGCTGCGATGCGCTCACTTGCTTCCTACACACTGTGACGTATACCCATTAGACATTGCTCACTGTTCTAAAGAAAATATATTTTATTATATAGTTTCATTTAATGCAAACTTTAAACGATAATTTTTTTATAAAATTAAATTTACTCCAAGGTTAAAAGAAGTATTTTATAGTTCAAAATATTAATACTTACGTTGTTTACTTGTACTAATATAAAGAGTCTTAAATAACCCTAAATTTGATACGATTGCGTGAGTCGCCTCATCGTGACAAGAACAACAAAAGGATTACATAACTTTATGGTAAAAAGATACAACATATGGGGCTTTTGGAAGTGTTCAATTTTTTTTTAAATTTTTTTATTTTAAGTTACAAATAACAGGAAGATTATACCGTTCCTTGACCTCCTTTTTTTGCAACTAATCTCTGGCTACTAAAAAATCTTGCAGGTTCCATACAAATCACAAATTTTACCACCCAGTTATTTCAATAAAGAACGTTAACACAAAATGTTAAAAGCCAAATTAAATCGTCGTTAATTTATAAAACGCGATAACTCGATCTCTTTCACGAGCTCCAAATAATATACCGCGAAACTAACCAATCTCGGCGTCCCGGGGGTATTGCAAAAAATCACCCCCGAACCAAACCGCACCCTTCAAACTGCGCATCGCCGGGGAATCGAACGGGTCTCCTCGGGTTAAGCGCGCACGTTAAAATGTTTATAGATAATGCCGATGTAGGTAATGCTAGTCGTAATTCCATGGGGTTTGCATCCCCCTTGTCTGATGGTATTTGTATTCAACGTAATGGCTTTTGTCCGGATATCGCATAGGTATCTTAACGTTGAATGGACTAAGGAAATATCGAGGGGCCTGTACTATTGATTGATTTTTGTATCTATATAAAAGCGATTTGCCACTCATCTGAATCACTTATCGAGATATCAAACATATGTAAAAAATATCCAATTGTATTTACAATATGGTACGCAACGGTTCAAAATTATCGCCAAAGAAGAGAAAATTATTTAATACAAAAGCGTTCGCTTGTCTACAAGATTTTAATTTTTTTTGCGGTATAGTTTTTCTACTCAAATATCATAACAAAAAATACGCAACCAAAACAAACATTTTTACATCATCATATCATTGAAGATGACAAATTTCAAAACAGCACAAATTAAGAAAAAAACTCACAAAAAAATTTCAAAACAAATGAAGAAAGCAATCGATCAAAAACAAAATCGATTATCCGCGTAAATGTAGATCTTGTTAGGAGTTTTTATATGGCCAGTACTACGGACCACCGACGCCGTCGCCCATGGATCTCTAACAGCGGATCGATGATCTATCGCTTGTCTCGAGCGGGGTAATGAGCTGCGCGCCACGTGACACCTGTCACTGTCACCATGACGTACGAACGCCCGCGCACTTTACACCGCTCTATTGCTCATAGGGTTGCCATTGTATTAATTACAACCTTTAGTATTAAAAATGTTAATGACCTCGTCTCGAGAACTTCTTTTGGATATGAATAACATAGGTCACCAATGTGAGAACTTAATTAAATTTAGTTGATTATAGCAAACATCCTAACATGCTGAAAAGTGTAAAAGTACAAACTGTATTGTTTTAATCTATTTGGTTTAACCGTGTACCTTTTTTATGCCTTCGGTACAAGTCTATAAAATAGCAGTTAATATACTTCCTAAGGATTTGGTATCATTAGCAAAGTTTGATTGTCACTTATTAAAATAGACAAGCCATATAACAAGTTTGAAGTGGCAACCCTATAATAACTATCACAGGTCTTGTCGCGAAACATGATATATGCCCTTGCTCTATGATGTCCCTATACCGGTTTCATTCACCAATAAGATACATAATACGTTAACGTCAATTTTAATACAACGACAGGCCTGCTAAAGAACTCTCTAAGATATTTGTTGCAAAGTTTATCATGGGAAAATTAATTTCTAGAGATCACTGACATTCGTGGTAACGTTAAATCTATGTAGCATTAATCAATACGTGCGTGAAAATATATTTCGTTTAAATGGTATACAATTCCATAGTTAAAACGTACAGTAAAAAAGATAAATCCTTTTTTAAATTCTAATACGACACACGTACAGTCGCTCTTTAATCTGTACCCCGTTCCGATCTGATTGGTTAAAGAGCTGTCAAAAACAGAAGTCGTATTTTAAATGCACCTATCCTACTGGATGGTTTCGTATTCGAAACTAGAATTTGTTTTTTCTGAGATATCTGTCCATGAAAGGGAATTTTGTAATTGGAAATCGTTTCATTTTTTTTAATTTTCTACTGGAAAGAATGAATGGGACTATTTATAAAAATATAAAATAATAATTTTAATGTAAGAATCTAATAAGATTCATAGTATGTTCCTTAAAATTAATATGGTCACTTTATATTATATAGGAAAGGGTGCATAAAAAAAGTTTATGAGAAAATAATAATCAAGTTATTAATATAACCATTAGGTTTTATATCGAATAAAAAAACCGACGCTTATAACCAGCATAGAAGATTAAAACGTAAGTACGTTTTTTTATTTCATGTTTCATCCGGCGCTAGTCTAGCCTGTGCGAACATTACCTTCCATTAGTGGAACAAGAGATTAAAGCAGGGAATCGCGAAGCGATCCCGTGCAAAATGTACTTTATTACAAAACATATACTGAATTGGGAGCACTCGCTTTTTCATTTATAAAATGAAGGGTGAAAATGTAGGCTTTTGTAATAATACGTTCATTTTTAAATTCTAATTGTTAATCTTGTATTAGAGGATTACATTAGTAGTATTAAAAAGTACTAACAATCGATTATAGAAATATTTCAGCGCAACGTTTGGAACGACGCGCACATTCGCGATAATAAAATCGCAACCCCCTACATCGCCTTCCCGGCCCGCGGCGGGGAAAAATACATTTTCCTCGTTGCCAATGGCAACAAGAAAACAGATATAATATCTAGGGACGCCCCACCGGAGTAATACATAGATAGAAGTATAAAAGGCAGGACCTACGTGTTAAAATGGGCATACATAGGGTGTTAAATTTGTGTGTGCCAGGTTTTTCACGCATGCGTGCTTTTTGCCGAAAGTAGATAGATATTGGGGTTTTTAGGAACAGAGTGGGGGGAGAAGGGTGGCCGTTCCCTAATCTGTGTCCCTTTGAGCCTCCCGATTGGAATTTAGTAATCATATTAGATTTTAAATTACACGTGCACGGAACTTTAAAGGGCGGAGAGGCCTGACAATTTATTTCCTATTAGATAGTTGTTTACAGTTTGGTGGACATGGAAATTTTATTTGTATCCAATTATTTATAATGAGAATCGGTAACGGGTGGCCATTTTGTATTTCGTCAATGAAAATTAAATCGTAATAGTTCTTTGCACACGCTTCAATAGTCCAAATAATCGGCAAATTCACAGAAAGAAAAAGTAATTTCCTTCGTTTCTAATATAATCTATTTACTTTCTTGTTAGATATTAAACTCTCTTTTAATCTCTATTTAATAAATTTATGATTAAAAGAATTTGAAGTAACAATATCAACTTTTAAAAGTGTAGATAATCTGTGCCGATGACTACTCTATGTCTACTTTGACTTTACTGCGCGTGCAAATGCTACGAAATATTATTTTTGTCTACCTTCTTTACTAAAGGCGGGGTTACGATTAGTTTATTCTTCTGTTGCTTAATTATTTATCACCTATTTCTATATATGTAGTAGTAGCTAAGTGACCTTTTGTATCATTAGGTGTCATCAATAAACCGAGTATTACGGAACCTCGCGTCGCAGAAGGAGCAAGCTGCGTCCGCGCAGAACGACAGTGTTTACGAGAAGCTGAGGATGTTCAACGGACAGGCGGCGAGTGGCTGGTGGTACCCTGGTCTTCCGGCACCCGCGCCTGCGATACCCCCGCCACTACCGCCGCAACTCAACAGGACAACAGAAGAACATAAACGAGGTATGTATACATGTGTTATATGTAGGAATATTAAGAAGGTTTCGTTTTTTTTTGAGTTGAAAAAAAGGCAACGACTGGTTTATTATACGTTTACTTATGCGATTTCTGTCATCAACAAAGATTCGATTTACATATAACTAGGTTACAAACAATACTATTTTGTACATTTATACGAATGTGGAGTAACGCAAGTACATGGCGCTGTCATGTTGAGAGGCGATGTCCTTTTTCTATTTCTCTTTGAATGTGCCTCGCACACTGCCTTTGGGAACTCAACGCGAATAGGGTTGACATGTCACAGTTTTAAAAATAATCATATTTTACATATGAATTATTAGTTACTTTTTATCTGTTGTGTATGTAAATCTTTGTGGGCTATGTGTTATTAATTAATTCCATGGTAATATTTAAGAAAAAAAAATGTAATGCCTTCTGTAACTTAAATTATGCTTTTGCCTTAGGATTGTTTTGTGCTTTTTATGACCATTTCTATTTCTATACCAGATAGAAAATAACAAAATATAAAAAAGATGAAATATGTAAAAAGAATTACAATAAAAAAACTTATCGAATTCAGATTATTTATTTTTATATTTTTATATTATATATATTTCTGAAAATAATTTTAACTTAAATTTAAAACTTTTGTAAAACTAAAAAGATTTTCATATGAAAAACTCGTTACGTTTATAAATGAAAATTTACAGCGTCTAACCCTCGCAATGCTTTCCTCAATTTTCTTGAATGGCGGTAGTGGTGAGGGTAGAAAGGGGGTAGTTACCCCGTTGTTACGTTTACGGAACACCTCGGAGACTTATTCCTACTCTATATATTTATTTGTATGTATATTACTTTCTATGTACACCTATGTAAAGAGTTACGTGCTTAGATTTAATAATGTTGGAAAAATCTATTATCTTTCTCAATTTTGATAAGTAATGACAAACATAAAAAATATGTTACATTTCATGTTTCTTATATAAATAAAAAACACTTTCCAATATTGAGAAATTAAACTTTTGTAAGATTCAATTTACTTGAAGTTCATATCTAGATATTCTTATGTTCTTTAAAAATAGTCAAATCAAATGATAATAATCACATAACCATTTACATGATTTTGCACTCATTCTCCCGCTTTCATAGTCACTAAAACAAGCACCAATTGAGCGCAATTCCTCGTTGAACGGGCACTGCAACTCTATAAATTTAATGTCCCAACCAATTTTCACGAACAACTGAAAATATGAACTGCAGATTTCAACATTTGCCGCGCCATAACTTAGTTTGTTACTTTGTTTGAATTCTATTTCGACGTTCGTATAATTTATTTTCATAACTTTCATTTTAAAAATTGTAATATAAACAACTGATACGAAATTAAAATATGTATTTATAAACATAAATCCGTTTTCGTAATATCTGGCAGAAAATAAGTTACACTTCTAAAAGAAAAAGTTTTTTCTTTATAATTAATTAAATTCTATATTCAAAAACATACGTTGATATCACGTGCATAGGCAACATAACGAATTAACTTTTGAACAGCCTTCACAGATTAAACTTGATACGTGTGGATCTTCAAAGCTCGACACGTGACCCGAGTGGTCGCGCGTGACTTGACTTTACTCTTGTTTGTGTCCATTGGACATTGGTTTGTTGTCTTACAACTTTACAGTGGAAATTCACTACATTTGTATCTGCCTACAGTTCTAAACACTTTTATTATTTATAATAAATATTTAAATAAGTAAGCTAAAAAGCTTAATGTTCCTTCTGCTGTAATGTTCACTGGAAACAATTTGTAAAAACTTTCTTACGAATATTTAATTATGACATATGTAACTTTAAAAACCTTTGAACATATTTTAGGTATATTAATTAATTTTTAATTTAATATTTTGTAACGTTAATATTTGTAAAAAGAATAAACATTAGAATAAAAAACATAAAACAAATTCAGCGAGTCGTAAACATTTGCGTCGTTGTACAAAGCGTTGTAGCGCTTTAGCTTTTTGCAAAGCACCTGGTCTGGACATGGCTTAATATATTTTTATACATTTAATATGGAAGCTGTGTATTTGTCGACGGCACGGCGACTTAATTAACTTCGGCTGCAGCATTCTGTTTAACAAATTCGATTGCAGGGTGCGCTGCGAGCGTTTGCTTTTATACAATCTGTTACATTCTTGTTCGCAGCTATTTAACTTTTAAAGTAAAGAAAATTTGTTTCCAACCAGTTACAATGGATACTAGAAAAGTTTGTCAGAAAAAAAATGAAGAAATCTTATCTATCTGGATAACTCCAAGAATTAAATTGTAATGTGTGACATTTAAAAGAAACATTATGAATCTTCACTAGCTTTCTAAATGTGCCTATTTAAAATGTTTGGCTTGAAATAAAAAAACACGTTAGTTTTCGAGGCATTTCACGTTTGATCGAAATAAAAGCCAAACTGCCATTTCTAACGGCTAACAATTAAGCAAATAAAAAGCATTCATCTAAATTGATCTGACCGGTATAAAATATTGTCCCTCACAGAGCCGGCTACAAATTTTAATTTTCAACTGGCAGTGTTGTTCATGGCTGGACGGACTCTGCCAATGTTTCGGAAGTATACATAAAAAAAACAAAAATAAATGCTCCAAAACGTTGTTCGCTAAAAAACTTTGCAACCTTAAAATAAACTATCATAGTAAAGTAATAGTTCAAAAAATAATTTCTTGGCCAAGATTTTACTTATGTAAAGGACTGATAATCATTTCTTTTTTTGGCTATAACTTAGTCAACTTTGTAATAAGTAATTTTATTTCAAACCTAAAAATACTTTTTTCTTTAAAACTTCTCGCTTAACTTTTTTGTTTTCTTTGTCGGATTAAAAACTAATGTTAATTATAATTTGCTTTTTATTTATCAATCGATCAATCCATATTAAAAACACGTAAAATCATTGCAAAGCCTAGACTATGTTATCATATTAGTTTGTGGAAGCGTCGCTAATGCATGAAATTGGTTAGAAAACCACCTGCACACGGAATCACAACGTCCGACATGGTTAGCGGTCGAACAAAATTACGCGAATTGTCCCAACAAACTGTTTAGGACGATAAACATAGGATGAAATTGAACACTACGTTATTCGCCATTTAGTTTAGAATTTCAGATATCACTAGGGATCGACTGGCACTTAATGAGCACAGAATTATAAAAAAAATAGCCTATAATATCACGTCTAAAGCCCCGTCAAAATTGATCCAGCGATTCAGGAAATTACAAGGAACAAACGCGGACTTGAGATCTGACAGACTGACACATAGAAATAAAAATTAAAATCTTACTTATTTGTACTGATTTCAGACAAAAATGATGCTCAACCGTTTATTAACATAGTAGATATAGAATTTAGAAATATTATTCTCTGTTATATTTTGGCTGGGTGACTTTTGTTTATAATTCTTAACTTACTTTAAATTCTACAATTAATTTATTTTACATAACCAACTATAAATAACTAAATCCATTTTAAACAATTCAAAGAAAGTACAAGATTCTTAACATTTTAACTTGCAAAAGAAGTTAACAAACGCATATCGTTTACACAAACTGTTTGAAACTTTATAGCTGTTGTAATTAACAAAAACAATTCGAACAATGCATTAAAATGTCTCTCCAACTATCGGGGCTGTCGATCACTGAAGCGCCCTCTACACGGTTATGTAGCAACAATAGCGATTTAATTGAAGCCGCCGAGAGGTCTGGCTCGCAGTGTAATTGACTCTAAAATCAAAGAGCGCTTCAATGTTTTAAGTAAAACGTGTTTAATGGATCTTTTACAAGTGGCCATTGATTGCGGCAGTGTTTTGTTTCGACACTTCATATTGATTGGGACTAACAATTGAAAAAATGTACGCAATTTTTAGTTACAAAGCAATGCAAGCGCTTCGTGTGTCACCAAAGATTAAAGACTAAAGTTGAAAGTTTGTAAATAAATTCTGAGAGGTGGTTATCTGGATGATTTTTAGGTAAATGTTAACTAAGGATTGTTTGAATGTTAGTTAACACTAAACTTAGGCAAATTTTAATAATACAAATCGAATACATGAACAGATTAGTTCATTTATCATTAATGTTTTTATTAATAGTAAATTTCATTGATATAAATTTTCACATGAATTTCGTTGACATTGCAAACTCATGATAAAACAAATTTAGCAAATGGCAACATCAAGCAAAAGCTTTTAACACATGTAAGAGATCCCTTCATCCAAAAAAAGACAAGCACATCCCATCAATTGACTCACTTGAAGTCACAATAATAAAAACTAAACCTTATCAGCCCCAACGCTAAGTAATTTAGATGACCCTGCTGGGGCCGTAAAGCGAATGGTTGATTACAAACAACCAATCTAAGCTGACCCCTGCAGCTTCCCTGACGTTAATAAGTACGATGTATAGACTTGTGTCGGCATGTAAGGTCTTCACTCAATGGTTAATCTTGGATAATAATAATGCCTTTATTAGGGTGCAAGTACAAATGCTCCGGATCATTTAATTCTCATTTATCAACATGTTTTACGGATTTAAAATATTTTCTACGTTTACGTAAGTTTTAATATTTCTTAAATAAATAATATGCAGTAATGTGTACTTTTTTATTTCGGATAAACGTAGTTTATTTTTCTTTAAAATATTGAAATAGTTTAGGTTTTTATGTTTACTACAAACTTTGTTGATTACAAGAAAGAAATAAGTAATACTCAAATATTATTAACTATTGCCTGTTTTATTTTAATTTCCATTGGCAAACAACATGTTATTGTTATGATAAAGTTTTTCATTTCTAAAATAGGAATAAAACTGTGTTGCGGAAGCGTAACGAATTAGGCGGATCGCGCCTTGTCCGGCCGCAAGCTGAGGTCGCGAACTTTACTTCTCCCTAAGTCATAAGCGATAGCGATTTTATTAAATTCATGATTTATTTTATACTTAAAATTAATTGATCCTTATCATCAATTAACGTATTGTTAACTTTAAATCACAATTAGCACTGCATTTTTTACTTAATTGCATTAAAAACAGTTACATTTTTAAATTTCAGAACAATTTTTTTTTATAAATTTAAAGATTTTTTCGGTTTATTTATCCAATAAATACTAATTATATAGAAGAATCGATAATGCGTTTTCGTTAATTAATCTGATATTCACACATTTTTCAAAGAGAACACATGTGAGATAGTGATTATTACCAATGAACTTGTGACCCGCTCACCTCTCGTCACCTGTGTCCGCTGGCTGAGTGACAGTATCGATCTCACATAATCGCGCGCCGGCAATCGCCCCCACCTACGACCGTCATGTCCGCCCCGATAACTCCAATTCCGCTTTATCTCTCCGCTCCCGACTTTCTTCGCTCCCCTTTCTACTTGTTTTCTCCAATTTTTTTCCACCGCCCCCACTTTTATTTCGTTCCTTTTCTTATTTTCTTACTATTATTTTCTCTTATGTATTTTTCGTGTTTCGTCCCGCCCGCGCCCACGAGTTCCTTCAATCATTTTGTAGGTCGTTATTGCTAGTATTGTGGCTAAGTGCGCCTCTCGTTTCGCGTTTTTCTTTAATGAATACCTCCTTTATATTCAGCCGCGATAAATAATGAAAACCTTAACGTTACAACTGGATACGGCCTTTTGTGTGCTCGGTGATTATTTTTGTGCGGTTTGGAATTCAATGTGGATGTTGCGATATTTTGAATTTTATGAAACACAGAGTGGCATTGTCATGGCTTCGTACTTTTATTTTAATTATTGATTAACAGACTTTGCATGGAATTATTTTTCGACAATGTTACTTCGTAATGTTCAGTTTATTTTTATTGCTATGCTTACAGTCTTATTACATTGAATCAGCTCTAGATCTTAATAACTAAACATACTAAAATATACCTAAATATAACTTATTTAACATTAGTTAAAATATGTTTTAAATTCTGCTAAAGTTTCTTAAGAAACGAAGATAGTTACGTCATAAATAAGCTCGGGAGTATATATTTTTAAACATTGCATTCGGGGTAATAAAGGCGCGCACACACGCGCGTCAATTCGACCGATCAATCAAAATTGTCAACCGATTGGAAAGTTCACCATGTTTCGGCGAACGGCTGTCTGCCATCAATCATGTCAGAAGGCGCGCTATCAAACCCGGTGTTATAAGCCGTGTTACGTTTTCATACTGTTAAACGTATAACCTTTATATCGCGGTTTTTAAATCGACCAAGTTTATGAACTTCTTTTAAAGACTTACACGATACAAGATATAAAAGTTAACGTAATCGTAAGAATTAATTGTTAATATTTTTATTAATTTACTTTTTCGTTCTTTAATATCAATGGTAATAAACACATCCATTCTCCTTTAGAAAATAAAATATTATTATAATAGTAGCCTATGTGTTTTTCCAAACTATGTGCATATGTATGTCAAATTTCGTCTGTTCTGGAGATACCTTCAAACATACATCCATCCATCTAAACATTCGCATTTATAATATTAATAGGATTTTCTATTCAAACAAACGCAATGTACGGTGAAAGTAATAACCAATTTATCATTTTTAAAATATCTTATTTAGTTTTACCCCAATTTACCATAGGTTTCCATTAAGAATATTAGTCGGCGACTCTACCTACCGATGTAGTACAGTTGCAAAAATGTGACAGATTGCATAACAGTAGATCTATTGAAAGAAATCAGCAACCCGTACACATTAGCGTGCGGGAACCGAACCCGGCCTCTCGAGAGCCGACCATAAAGCAAATTAATCAATTAGCCGGGGGCATGTCGACAACATTACGACTAACGTTTAATTTTGCAACCACCCTTATTTGGGGGATAGATACAACCATTGTTAATTGAGCTGTACAACGGTTGTAATATTTGCTAGAGGGGGATCGCAGAGACTGGTTCTTGTTACATTTTTGTCTGTAATTCTGGGGTGCAATTGAACAATTCTGCTGACGCATTTGCTTGATAGTTGTCGAGTGTGTTTTGTTCGAGCGCCTTGTGTTGATAGTTTATGATGAAGAGGTTCTAGACCCCTTCGCTTAAAGGCATTCTCTATACTACAGAAAGCAGTGACATTCAAAAATAATTGCATAATTGCATTTGATATTGATACCCAAAACGTTTTAGTTAAGAGTTAAATATGACGTTGACAATTTATTAATGACTTAACCTTAAGTGAACTTAAGTTACGAATCATTATTACAATCAAGTCAAAAAATGATCACTTAAGGTCTATGTGGAGCAATTAAACTTAACATTTTTAAATCATTAAATGGCAGTGTTACGACGAATGTACAGTTACGTACAGTACAAAAAAGTTTGCATAGATCCTAATCGTAGTTCTTTCTTCTAGTGGAACCACTGCAATCCGAAGCGGGATCTGACGGCAACAGCGAGCACGCGTCCTCCGGCGACGAGGACTCGCAAATGCGGCTGCGGTTGAAGCGCAAACTGCAACGCAACCGGACCTCATTTACCAACGACCAGATAGACAGCTTGGAGAAAGGTTCGCAATTTTTAAGTAACTTGTAAATCTATATAAATTATAGATTTAGATTTTATGCTTTACATTGCAGCAAGCGATACATAATTAGCCCAATAAAAACTTACCTTACCTGACTATTTAAAATCTCTAAAGCCATGTAGGTTAATGGCCACATTGGAATAAATTTACAGATTCGCGAAAAACATCAAATAACATTATTTAAGGTTTCATTTGCATTACTAAAATCTTTAAAGCAAACTTTATCGACTTAATCTCCACTTGACGAAATCACTTTAAAGGAAAGTATTGTCAGATAAATAATGTCAAATGTCTGAATAGCGTCAAAGTTTAAAGTACTAATAAAGTAAAGAACGTCAACATTTCAACGTAAGCACTCCCCAGAGCCTTCATAAACCCATTTCCTAATAATTCCCTTTCATCTTATTTATTGTTTGCTGCGACAACACGGGTTATTAGTAAATAAATAAATATTGTCCCCCCGATGTTTGGCCAACTCTCCGGTGGCGCCCAATTATTGATGTTGCTCCGTGTTAATCTCACTTTTTGTTGGCTGTTTATTTGCTCTCATACTGTACGGACGGTTTATTGCTTTTCTTTGTGTTCCCTATCGCTATTTCAACTTTATTTCTTAGTTATTCGTAACTGAATGTACTATTCTGATAATAAATACATTAATAATGTCCTTAATAGTCAAATAAGGATATCTGGGCCGATTAGAGTCTGCTATCTCGTTTAGTTCTGGCAAATAATATGTAAAACATTATAAAATATTGCAATAAAAAGAAAAAAAAACATGACATGACAGCTAAAATACGAAAAGGATTTTGTGATACTTTTGACAATTATAGGAGGGCGCTAGTAAGCTGTCTGTCTGAAAAACTTATAATAATCTAACTATGAAAGAAGGTTTGTTTAAAAAAAATATATAAATTACTTTTAAATTGAGATAACTGCTATGTATTTATCGTAATATGTAATTGTCAACAGAATTCGAACGAACGCATTACCCTGACGTGTTCGCGCGGGAGAGGCTCGCTGAAAAGATCGGATTGCCTGAGGCACGTATCCAGGTAAAACATAACTCCAGTTTACAGCGCGGTAAGAAGGCCATAGCGATGTTGTCTGAGCCTCACTAACACTAAATGGCGGCCGCGTTCCGCTCATGGCGGGAAAGTTACCACTAACTATTGTGCTATTTGTGTCTAATGAAATCATAAATTATGTTCCTTTTAAGGAATCTTAATCTTCTTTTCGTTTAAATTTTAATAATTATTCAAAATAAGAAATCAGAAATTGTTATAACTCATAAATTAAGGAACACTTACTGTTGGTTTTCGATCGAATCGAATTCGAACGAATCTCTGTTTAAAACATTTTAGTATCTCTATTTTGTCAAAGATAATGACAGGGATGAATATATGTATTATTCAGAGATTTTTGTCTCAGAAATAAAGGGTTATATACTATTTAAAACTGATAAAAACTTTTTTGTTTTTAATAAAGCTATCCCAAATGTGTATAGCGTTGTGTTTACACTGCATGTTTGTGTAGGCGCGGGCATCGTGTGGATGCGTCTTTAGCAAACAAACCGTAAAAAATACGAGGGATAATAATAGCCCCCACCGACGTCCATGTGTACATATTTACATAATGTATACAATATACATAGCTTTTGTAAATATAACGGCATATGAGGGACCCGGCACATTTATAGCGGTGTTTTTATTACCAAATTAACAATGCTGTATTTATCTTTCGTGTTTCGTTTTTGTTTATTATAACGTTGAATATGAATTTTCTACAAAATTAATTGATGTGTTATTTCAAATACGAAAGTAAATTATTGGAATGTAATTTTATTTGTTAATTAAAGTTGCAATAATTGAATTTAATGTCAAAATGTTCAGAAATCAACACTAAAAGTAGCATCTTTCTAACCAATAATTGCTTGGCATCTCTTATAATGCATAATTACGACTAAATGAGTACTGGCTTAAGTATATTTCTGATAAATACACGAAAAATACAAAATAAAAAAAGCTTCGTACTTTATAAAGTGCTTTATAACGAGTATTAATATTTTTTCACTTTATTCGTTCGTGTAAAAGAATGTTCGGTACTTAGAGCTAGAATCCGTTGCCAACAGTTTAAAAGGTCGTCCATCACTACGACTTGCAGAAACTGCATAATGTAATGCAATTTCAACTGCAACCTTTTAACTATACAAAGCACTTAACAAAATACAAATCGAATTATTTAACATGCTTGTCATAGTGACTGGAAAATGTTTTTAACTAAACCCTTTAAAGAGCACTTTACTGATGGATTATTTTAACAATTGAAAACAGATCAGATGACTATATTTTTATAAAGTGTTTTTTATAACTTAAATCCTTATTGAATAGCGTGTTTGTGTTAAATATGTGAACAAAATTTCGTCCTTAAAAATGTAGCGCAAAACACAAAAACACATCGGAAATATTAATAAAAGAAACGAAGCTCGTCGTTTCCTTTATATTCGTACAAATAGAATATCTATAACTTGAATAAGGAAGGGAAATAGAGAAAAACAATTCACAACTTTTCTTTTTGTGAGGAGACTTTTCTTGTTCGTCAGACAAAAAAAAATGGCGCGGCTGTTTTCAGCATCGGAGCGGGGCTAAGCTCTTACATTAACCTCTCGTCGTCAGAGGTTATTCAACATTCGTAGCCTCTACGCCTCTACGTCGCTACGCCGTAGCATCGTTCCGTAGTCCGTTCGGTCAACAAGTACTCGCGGATATTTAGGGTTACTACTAAATCTATGATACTATATTAAAGTTGTTTTAAACATTTTTTTTTAAATTGAGATACATCTTTCAGATACATTTAATGTAAAGATTTCACTCTGTAAAGTATGAAAAGCTTACTGAAAAGAGTATATGTAAAAATATATGAAGACAGTTTAGTTAAAATTAAAAAGTAAGTCGTCGTTTTATTAATTAAAGTGTAATTTAAATAATAGCTTGACATCCCTAAATGTAAATTTTAATGACCTTTCAAGGGACATTAGACTCTAACATTAGTGTTTAAAGCCGAGTTTTGTTTATTTTTGTACAAAGCGAGGCTTTCGAGGAGGGTTTCAAATCGTTTCGTATTCGAGCCACCGACGCCACGTGTTGCCCCGGGCTTGGGGTTCAAGGCTGTGCCGGAACGGTGAATAGGAACTCCATGATGTAACCTCAAATAAATACTACGACTACATACTATACTATAGTGCTTGTAGTAATATAATACGTACATACATTCTACATAATACTACTGAAAAACCACTCTATAATGTGATAAGGGAATTAGAATTAAAATTATAAATGATTAAGTTTCCATTTTATGCATTTAGTTTTTTGTTATTATAAAATAAACCTACGTTTGTCACAGATTGCATAACATAACATATTAATATAAAAAACTGAATTCCCTCGTGAAATAATATTTATTTTTGTACTCTGTCAGGAAAATAAAAAGATACAAAAATATAGTAGTAAATATACTTATATAAATGTAAAAACATAGTCACCGTACAATGAGGGACCCGATATCGATCCTCGAGCCTACAGTCAGCGGGGGTGAATTTCCTGTGGGGTGTGTTTTGAAAAATTGGCACCCGAACACACAACAAGGTTTTTACTAACAAAACATACAAATTTCAATTCTATCCCACTCGTATTAAGGTCGCAGTTATAAGTATTTACAGTTGCTTTTGAATAAATGAAAAGATTTCGCGGTGTTCTAGCAGTGTTCTGATTTATGTACTGTTTCGTTTTATTCGCTCTTTGATAGATGGCGTGAGTAGCGTTTGTTTATCGAGTGCTCGTCTTCCCAATGGAAACGGAATTTAAAATATAAATCACTGATACAAAAGACTAAAGTCTGACCGAAAAACTAAAATATATCACATTATATACCTACTTAAAAAGTCATGTGCATAAAACTTGATAAAGTAAATATCCATTATTATTCGACGTCAAAAAGGAGTTTCAATCAATTCGTCTGTATTTTTTTTTGTTGTAATGTTCTTAAAAAGCAACTTGTTTCAGAATCGTTGTGCTGAATAGTTTTAATTTCAAAAAGTATAAATAAAATTTTCATTTCTCAAAAAAAATAAAACCAGCAATTGCCACATTCGCGGCAACTTGTTGACGTAATAACAATATTATGGTTAATCTCATTTGCTAAGGAACCCCAATGCTATAATATTTCGCCAACTATGGGGGCAGCAACGCAATTTATAAAAGGCCGACGGGAAATGACGTGAAGGCGGGAGAAAGGCCTGTCATCGCTGTCACGAAGAAATATCTATGGAATGAAAGGAAAAAACGGAGATGTCATAATATTTTACTGTGACATTAGGTCCCTTACACACGAGCGCAGTTCCGTCATTATGACAGTTGACAAGTCTCTTGGGTGTATAAACTTTAGAGTTTATTTCATGCGATACATGAAGTTTGTAAACATTGTTTATTTTCTTATTCATATAATAAAACATAGGTTATCAGCATATATTATTGAATACAAGAATATTTACGACTTAATAACTCTTCTGAAAACTTATGAAGCTTAAAAATATATTTAAATTATTTTTATAACGGACAAAGATTAAGTACAGAATGAAATTCTCTAGGTTACTTAACATGAGTGTTATAAAACTAAATAACTTACCATTTACTTATTTGGGGATATATTTTTTCCCGTAGAGTTTTATTACACTGTGTGCTCGGGTTTAGCAGTCCTTTTTCTTTCTACGAATGGGTTTTTGTGAGGGCTACGAATAAAATATTATAGGTAACATTCGGCCGATTTTGTTGGAGACTGAAGTAATAATATTATGACATATTGCCTCTTGTTCGACCTCTTTGAGCGCTTGGTTTTCGGGTTTTACGTATTTTCTTTTTAGAAGGCAATTTCGAACAAATATCAAGCCCTACTCAAACATATTTCACCTTATAATAGTATTACAATTACTCACTATTTTAATATTGGTCAGTTTTGACATTGCCGGATACTTCTAAACAATTGTGACACATTTTTTGTTCAAAGTAAAGTATATTGCTTTTCAGCCTAGTTTCTTCGACATGATGTATTCATTGTACTTAACAGAGAAAGTGGTAATTAAAATGTTTATTAATTTAAATAAAACTGTTAGTACTTATATATACGTATTTGTTTAAAACAAACAATCTTGGGCAAAGCGCGGGAAAGCGCAGCCGCCATGTTGCCGCCATGGCGGTGGCGGAAGTGACGCGCACGTGAGCGCTGCTTCCGGCGCGCCGTTCCGTTTCGCACTTAACGTCATATTATATCCACTCTATTGATTGATATTTTAAGATAAACGGTTTAGATATTCTAATAATTATTTACAATTCTAAATATTATCGAGAAAAATATAACAAAAATAATCAAACTCTAATATGCATTATCCAAAACAATTTTTTTTCGCAGGCACAATGGTGTTTTGGAATAGCCATAAACCAAATGGTCTTTGAAAACATTATTATGTCTTCAATCTAGTTGTTACCTAAAAGTTATTTAATGATAGGGGTCTGGGGATCTGGGTTTATAATAAACACACAAAACTATCTATGGTTTTTAGGTAATAAGTCGTTTATCATTAATTTTCGGTACATAGAGTTGTTGCAGAGTTTAATGTTGTTATGCCCTTTAATAACTCGTATAGTCGTTATTAAGAGGGTGTACACTTTATTAAAATTGTAATTAATGTAACTTTCACGCTGAATGAGAATTAAATCAAATTGAGATAGAGCCATATATAGTTCCTAAAACGTTACTGACATTTTCATTAACTGAAATTAACTGCATAAAGCCCTTCATAACTGCACTGTTTTATATCAGAATAAAAACTTTCCATAATCCAGGACTGATCACAAATTCATGTTACATACCATTTTAACCTTTTGACAGCTATACCATCTGACTGTTGTAGCTCACTCGATGTGACTTAAGATGATATCTAACCAATGTCAACTATTAGGTGTGGTTTTCGAACCGTCGTGCGAAGTGGCGGCGGGAGGAGAAGCTTCGCAGTCAGCGGCGAGAGGCGCCGGCCGCCTCTCCCCCCGCCCCGCCCGCACCGCGCCTGCCTCTCAACGGGGGGTTCAACTCCATGTACAGCCCCATACCGCAGCCCATCGCCACCATGAGCGACACCTATAGGTCAGTATATTATACATAACTCCATTCTTATAGAACATCCGCTAAGATACTTTTTGATAAGTTGAGAAAATACTAGGTTAGTGCAAGATTAGATGGAATAGTGGTCAAACGCTAGTTTACATCATCAAAAATAAATAAAAGTGTTGATGACTACAGTGTTGTTTCAGACTTAAAATCAGAGCTACAATGTAGCTGGCAATTATCATATGACAATACATTCCGATCAATGTAATTAAAAGATCTTTTGCTTACTTCAGCCAAAAATCAATAATTAAGGTAATTTTTTTCATTAAGAATAAAATAAACCAAACTTTTAGTTGTCATGCAACCACACTGAGCATTAGATAGCGCCATCTATCATCGAGAGGCGACATTAATTAAATAGCGCGCGAAATCGAGTGGCAAAGATCGCGTCTTCTTGCGTTTCCCGCCACTGCACCGAGACGTTCCGAACTACGGAACCGAAGGTCGACGTCTTTCCACTTGGATTGATTTTTAATAGTGAACTTTAGCTTTTGTCGTGCAAATTAACTTACTGAGACGAGAAGTTTTCCTTTAGTGCGTTCAACCGGATAAAGTAACACCTTTTTCATTTACATTTTAATTTAAAAGAATTTTTACAGACAACTTAAGACTTTACAACGTACAATATCTCATATTGTATTTTTGTGTGTATGTGAGAGTTTCAATTGAGAGTATGCTGTTTTACTAAACACTTCTTCTTCTTCTTCGTCGTTACAGTCTTGTCAGACTGGTCGTGGTCATCAAGTATCAGTGAACCGCTTTGTGTCATTTGTGGATAATTATGGTTATTGTGTGACCTCAGCACTACATACTTAGAGAGTTCGATAAATTTGTGTGTCTATAGACCGACAAGGATATCTGACTCGGTGGGCATAAGTTAAACTAAATTATAAAAGCTCACTAGCGTCCTTCTGGCAATGTCAAAAACAAGTCACAAGATCCTTGTTGTATTGTTTAGCCTGTGGTTATCTTGTTTTTTTTTGTGGCCTAAATAGGTTTTATATTTTGTGAAAGTACTAACGTGACAGCAGCGCCTCTGTACTGCCAGATATCCTTGTTTGACTATATTATGAGCAAACAATAATGTTATGTTAATGATGACATGTCCAGTGCGTTTGGTTCCGACAGTTCGATGTCGGGCGGGCTATCATCGTCGTGCCTGCAGCAGCGCGACGGCGGCTACCCGTACATGTTCGGCGACGTGCTCGGCGGCGGATACTCGCGAGCGCCCGCCGCGCACCAACAGCACGCCGGCTACTCGCAGCCACAGCCCGCCGCTAGCACTGGTCAGTAACACTTCGCTTTTATGTTGAAGAAAGGAAAATATTGCAGCCAAATGAACATCTAAGTTATGAAGCGAGACTATTAATTTGTTAACTCAGGAAAACTTTGCTTGTTTCATCAGACTTTAATTTATAAATTATAAACCAAACATGTTTTTTTTAACATACGATCACATTTATTACATCTAAACACACATCACGAGCGAAATGTGTAAGTAAATACAATAAAAATTGAAGAAATCAGACTTCGGAAAATATTTACCAAGTTCGTAATAAAATGTAAAAAACGCTGAGTCAAGAGCAAGGGGCGTCTGGCTCACAAGACCGCGACATGACGGGAAACAAAAAATAAAATGGAAAAAAGAGGGAAAAATAGAAGCTCGCGTCCCGATTGGATTTGCCGTTGTCTGTTCCTTACAAATGGCTTTTAAATTGATTTTGAATATCGAATGCTTTCGTTAACAAATAGTAGAATCCGAGCTTTTTAATTTCCATTGGCGCGGAGCCAAATGCTAGCGGGACCTACCCAAAGTATCTCATAACAGAACCGTCTAAACATATTTCAGATTTATTAACATTCATAAAAACAGCAAGCCTAGAAGCGGTGGCCTCTTTGCTATTATTTTAAAATGGCGCATCTTTTTCGTATGATATAATATATCAGGCGGCGGACATTTTTAGCCGTAGGTGGCGGAAAGCGGCATGAATTATTGTTGTTTGAGGCGTTTCTCGCATTGTTCGACCGCCGAGTTTCCAGCACCGCTCGCGAACAAAAGACTTTTTCGCAATTCAAAACGCACGCTCTCGTTTCATTTACTCTTTTGCGCTCTTTCGACTGGTGCATTTTCAGATTCGCGCGGTATTAAATAATACAGACTTGCTCCACTTTTAGTTTTTGCACTTTACTTATCGATGTTTGGCAAACAATTTATTTACATTTTGTTGTAATAGCTCTAATAATTTCGACATTAAGATCAAAAGAAAACCTATGTAACAACACATTTGACGTAAGTTCGATAAAATTCTACACAATGGCAACAATTTCACCGTCGACAGCTTCGTAGGGGACCATAAACAAGCGGGCGGTCGGACACAAACCATTGAGTAAACGAGTCTCGCAGGAGCGCTGTTTAGAGCCGATAATAACGTGTAATGAATGTAAACGTTACCCCTTCGTCGCGGCGCGGAACGGAAAACTGTTATCGCCGGCTCGCACGCGCGCGGGCGGGGGGAGGGGCGCGGGGCCGCCGCCATTGGGAAATTATGATGCTGTAACGAGACTACACACGCGAAAATGATGTATTGCCGCATCATTTTACATAAACACATAGGAAATATAAAATGTTTCAACGCCTTTAACATTAGTGTTAATGATCTTTAAAAATATTGTTAGTGAATAAAAAAAATGTTAGTAGTATTATACCTAGAATTGACATTTTAATTTAGTGCCGCAATTTCTAAACCCCCCACCTACGTTTGAATATAGATTGTATGTACATATATTGTATTGACGGACGTGTTGATAGCTTTATGACTGGCGTGGCGGGACATGATCGAGCCGAGCGAACATACCGTGGCCAGATAACGCGATTGTGTGTAATAAACGGAACGCAATTGCAATCCTATTAGACATATGGCTGAGCTCATATTGATACATGACGCTACGAGGCTTCGCATTAGATTGTGCCGGCACATGCCTGACTCCCAAATTGATTAACGTCTATATTGCTCCGTCTTATGATCAGATTATATTGCTACACTATATTGAAAATTATGTTATTCATTGTAGATTACTTTTAGCAATCTTATTTTGCAGTCTTGTCTGTTTACGAAAAGACTTAAATATTTATCAGTACAATTAAAAAAATACATATTTGAAGTCGTAGATAAGAATCTATTCAGGTTTCAAATGTAATATGAATATTTTTTTTAATTATTTAATTGTTATATTAGGTGTGATATCGGCGGGCGTGAGCGTGCCCGTGCAGATCCCGTCACAAGGTCCGGACCTCGCATCGAACTACTGGGGACGGCTTCAGTGATCTCAGCTATTCGGGTTCCCGCATCGACTTCTCTCGATGCCTGAGAACCCGACCAACGTACCGGAGTCTCCATCTAGCGGAGAGATAGCGCACAACTACGCCGACTCCCACTTGTCTATGACCGCCGCGCTCAACATGACGGCCGGACACGACGCCGGCGCCGCCCTGGCGGGAGACTTGCAGCACGAACAAAACTCCGTCTCGTAAGTGTTTCAGACTCTCTACAAAGTTATTACATGCAATATAAACCCAGTGATTTCTTTTCTCTCAACGTTTAAATGGTGCAAGTTATTGTTTTGTACAATTGGTTACAAATCTATGAAAATACCAGTTATTTGTAAGAAGCAACTGATGATGTTCAAACCTAGCAATAAGTGTCATAAAATCATGTACAAGGAAACATGTTGCGTACAGCCATATTACATTTATACGTTTCTGATAATTATTTGCTTACAAAAATGTAAATAAAACGATCAGCTGCATATTTCCTTGTGCACGGTGAATAGATTTAAAATACTATAGCGTTTGTAAATATAGCTAAGCGCCATCTATTGTTGAGTAGGAAAAGTTTCCTTAGTGACCGATGTTCCCGGAGAGAAAATAAATGTAAATCGTTTGTGCCAACTTTTATAATGAGTGTTATACACCCTTAGTGAGAACAACCCTTTTATTTCTTTGATCTATGCAATAGGGGTGAGAAATATTAATGCTACAGAGGAAATGGTTGCAATAAGCTTCGTTACGGTGTTTTGTTGGGCGACATCGCGTCCCTTCAAACTGTCACTCTACATCTTTGTACTCTTGTATAATATTGTTCTAATCGATGTTGTATTTGCAATTGCAATTTTACTATGGCACATATTACTTTCGATATTTAATTTATGTTATTTATTTCTTATAAATACTAAAGAGATCAATATTGCTGTGATTTGGTAGTTAGATATTATTTTTACTGATGATATTCAAATGAGGTAAAATAAGGTTTGTAAATATATTTACTTTGGATATAGAAAATGATCATTTATTTCGAGAATTGTAAAAAAAATTGTAAATTTGTCAAATAGATTTGTTTGATCTATGCACTGACCTCTATAGATATGGACAGGCTGTTGCTTGGAAGAAAGCTTTTACTTTGTTCTAACTTAAAAGTGGTTAGTTAATGTTACTGACAAGCAATTCTATGTCTATAGACCGACATGGATACTGACCCGATGGGCATAGGTCTAACTAAATTATGATAGCTCACTAGCGCCCTCTTGTCAAAGTCAAAGTTCCTTTTCGTACTGTGGCTGTCATGTCATGATTTTTCTTTTATTGCCATTTTTATGGCCACGTTTCACGTATTTTCTGACAGAAATAAGCTCATTAGCAGCACCTTTCGCAACATGCCAGATATCCTTGTCTTTTAAATCGAACTTTCACCACCGCAAAAAATTGCGAAAATCAAATCGGCACAAAATATCACTGTATATAGCCTGTCCATGTTATAGAGGTCAGTGGATCTGTTTATGAATGCTGGTTTCACAGCATAATTGTACAACTGCAATGGAATGCAATACGAGAGACGTAGAACTGTATGTAATTTAAGTGTAAAATAAATTATTAATCAAATGTAATATAGATTGAGGAGATTACAGTGAAAATTATTAATAAATATTGCATTAACCATAATATCTTTTTTTATTCTCCTATAAAACACAAAAACATTCCTTCGGAGTTTATTAATCGAAGTATAAAAGGGGAATTATAAAGGATTCTCGCTAAATTCACCATACCACTAATTCATAACTGAATCTGACAGAAATGAACACTCGACTGTATCTAAATACAACAATAGGGCAATGAAGGGAATATTATTATTCCTTGTCAACAGATGGCGTGACGGAATATGCAACTTTATTGCACAATTCTTGGACCCTAAATTTATTTGCCAGTTAAAGTTATTCCGTTAAGTATATTTTGGGCGGTACATATTAATTTTGCGTGTTAGCTTAATACGAACGCTGTTTTGTAGGCGGATATCGCACACAAATGCAGTTACCCCTAGTTCTAACGCGAGGGTGGTACACAATGGGATGGGATTAAGTGTGTTGTAGGCATTATACTGATCTAAACTTTGTCGGGGACACGAAATGTTGTACAGGATGATTCATTTTCTTAATAAAAATACCTACACACTAGATAAGAGACAAAAAAATGCAAAAATTAAAAACAAAACATCCAAATTGTTGAACTATTTTTCAAGAAAATATACTAGGCGCTTACTACAATCGAAAGATCCATACACACAAAAAAGGAGAACTGTCAAACAATTTTAAAATCCTCTAAGATCTAAACTTGTCTATGGTTTATTCATTATTTAAAACATCCTGTACACTAAAGTATTACACAATACAAAGAATTCTATCTTAAACAGACAAATATTGAGTACAAAACTTCCCTTCTTAGCAATTGTGTTGATTATCGACGCTTATAATTGGCTTAGATCGTGTCCCCCTCGCGATGCGTTTGATTTCAATTCGTTAATCTTCATCACAATTGCTTCTATCTATAAACACAATGGTCAGTAACAGATGTACTGTAAAATAGATTATATCAATTCAATTTAAATAAATTTATTTTTAAATATAAATCATATTATTTAGTCTTTAAAAGGAAAAGTTTTAAGTTTTAATTTTTTTTTAAATTGCCTCACATGTAAGAGACTCGTCAATTAAATTATTCATGAAATTATAATAAAAATAGGCCTTGAAATATTTTTTTAAGAATAAAGAAATAAAAATAGTATAAACAATAATGATAAAAAAAATTCATTATATATTTAATTGAAACAGTATTGATTAAATATTAAAAGTTAATTTAATTAAAAAAAATTATATTAAAATTGATAATTACCTTTCTAAGTACACCAAATATATTCAGACTAGTTTATTGTTTATAACATTGAAGAAACAAACTTTTATAAAATTGCGACTAAATATGAACACGAAACATAACATTAAAATTAACGACATTTCCCTGCATTTCCACTGACGAAAAACTGAACAAAGAACATATTTCCATCCCTTTCACTCTCATTGAGGAAACAGAGACAACATTACTCTACAATACAGTTGGAAATCTATTGGTAATATAAAAATTTGCTTAAAGAGAAAAGGCAAACTTAACATAACATCTACTATTTTTAACTTTAAAAAACATTTCAACAAGAATAAAACTTAATTGATATTCATAGTCGAGTTAAAATTTATAATTGATAATATAAAATTATTTTTAATTATAATTAACGCCAATATTAGATGCCATGACAATATATTTTTGGAGCCATTAGTCAAGTTTTGAATAATAAAAAAAATTAAAAAAATCCGACCATTACAAGTGAGTCATTAAACAGTATTTATGTGATAGTTTTGAGTAGTTAATTTTAATAATTTCTTACGACAACAATGGTGTATATTCGGTCTGCCGACGCGCAGACGTGGGCGGTCTTTGCAAAGTATCACGATATCTGAAAAATTAAATGTACATTAAATTATATTAAAATCATTAAAATGTTCAACCATATTTTAATGAAGATCAAATTCATTTAATATTGAATTATTTAATTCGTAGAAAGTAGTCCATTTGGACCAAAGTATTACTATCTTTTTAGGCCAAAACTCGAGATGTAAGCAAGACGTATACGCGTGGACGACGAGTAGACACCTCGGCATCGTCAACACAGCGAGGTAAAGAGAAATATATATTCTTCTATCCTTACCTTCTCCCAGCAGTACCGTATGTAGTATCAGGCAGGCTCGGTCTGATGCTCCTGGGCGGAGGAGGGAAGGGCGGCTTTCTTCTGTTCTGGTAATGTTGGAAGAGAAACCCGGTGGTGGCCAGAGATAACCAGAGAAGCGTTATCAGGGCATCTGGGGATCGGGAGATAGTGTTAAGATTTTTGTCCCTAAAGGGTTCCTCTTAAGGAAGAACTGTTTTCGCCATCATTCAAATTTTCTATATCTATTATATTTTCGCAAAAATCATTTCCATTTTAATATTTTTTGTTACAATAAAATATATATTAGTATTATAAATCATATGTTTTTTAATTACCTGCCCACTGGAAAGGTGGCGAAAGTACAGCACTATTGAACTTAGGTACAACAGCACGACGCACCGTATTAATTATGATATATTTCAAATTGGACCCTACGTAGTAGTCAATAGGGTACACAGTCGCGTACGCGCCCAGTATCGCGCAGCACAAGATGTTTGATAAAAATGTCGTAGAGAGAAGTATTAGAGATGTTATTGACATTATTAAAATGAATAGAGTCCAAAAATTGAAGTCAACTTGAAGTGTTTCAAAACCACCTGAAATAATTCAATGCAATTTAGACAAAAAAAAATCTGTTTACTATAGAGATATCTTATTATAATATTTTCACTACAGTTTTAGAGAAAAAGTAGACTTTTATAACAAACACATTTTCACAGAGTAGAAAACCATTGATACACTGCCAGAATTTAATTTATCTTCTTTAATTTTACTTCTAAATAAGATTTTGGTCTTTAATTATTTAAAAAAAATACCTGGCAGCCCAAAGTACATCAATGCAGCGAACAGAAATCCTAAATTCAATGTAGACAATAGAACAGCGAAGACTGGTATTCCATAAAACCACCAGAATAATAACCAAATGAAGCCAAAGCAAGCTCCTGATAATATAGCAGCACCTAAGAGAGCTGAAATAATATCAAACAAATAAATTCCAAAATCTTAAACTTCATTTCCACTAAACGTCTAGCCGCGTGCGACTTATATTTCAAAGGGCAACTGCAGCCGCGCACTCACACAAATAATAGTTGTGCAGCTAATTGCGCTAGAGGAAAAAGGTCTTATTGCTTATTATGACTTTGAGCGAGTGAGTTAACATGCGTTAACCGACCCAAAATCACGAAATACTTTTGTCTTATGTTCCCCTGTCTCTTCATTAAAACAAGTGTAGTTACTAAAAACAACGACGCATTAATACGTCAGACTACACTTAGCAACTCAGGAAGAATACGAATCAGATGACATCTCACTCTTTCAAATCTTAAACGCTGTTTGGACTGTAACAAGTCATAAAAGAAGGGACATATCGGCCAATCCTTCGAAAATAGTCACATTGTTTTAAGAGATCTCATAAGAGATACATCTCTTCGTTGGATAGATACGTACAGTCACCTACAGTCTGTAGGTATTATAACTACAAATTATTAAACATCGAAAAACCATTTTAATTCTTACCCGGTCGTTCTAGTTCAGCAATCAACGATATAAGTATGTAAGTGATAATCACACCGCTGATCAAGCCGATCAGAAACATCTCAGTCTTAAAGAAACGATGTCCAAAGTAGCATAGGAACATACCGAAGAACAGTAGAGAGGCACATAGTAGCTGAGAGAGCACATCGTCTAAAAATTAATAGGGTAATTTTAGTTTGTTTTTTCCAAATAAAATTAGACGTTTTATTAAAAAAATATTTGTCGAAACTTAAACAGGCCGAGCGTCCTTGAATATCGTAATAAAATTTCATCACAGTCTGCTATTTATTCAGCGACGTACAAAAAAACAAACGGTTATAAACGAGATATAACTGCAAAATAGTTGTGTTAATTAACCAAAAATATTCTAAATTCTTTAACATAACATTCTAAAGAAGTACACTATACCAAGCAGCTCGCAGCTGTCGTCGAGCGGCGAACAAGCGTAGCTATATGTAGGCACGTACACGGAATATGCACTACTGTTGACCGCACTGTACGCGACAGCTACGTATATTGCGCCAGTGCCTGGGTACGCACCCAGCATACGACGCATCCTCCAAGTAGTCTGAGGTACCTGGTAGAAATTGTATACAGTACAGTCACAGCAAAATTACCTTTATCTCGACCAAATGTGGATTAATATTTATGTGATCGACATTACTACTGATTTTTGAAGAATCTCGTAAGATTCGCTTTATTTGGTGATCTTCATTTGTTATGGAATCGCGTCTCCAATTTTCACTGGTGCGTCCTCATCTGCTATACAAAATGTTACGCGCGCAACTAGACTCGCGCAGCTAATTGCTCAGTGGAAAAAACTCTAAGGTATCGGATGTTTAAGAGATATTGAGAGTTATTATCGATAATGAATAATAGTTGCTACCATACGATGACCAATGATCAGTAATATTTTCGATACAACATACATTTTGTCTTTCAATTCAGTTATTTGGAGAACTTAAAGTTAATGAACCTAGCTATTGCAACAGCACATCGCAATTGCTCATTTATTACAATAAAGCGCGAGTGGGAGGCAGCGACTCCGAATTACATCCTCCTTGGATGCGCAGGAGTCGACTGGCCAGTACCGGAAGTCAGTAACCATTCTAAACTTGGCCTGTTTTATATTGAAATGGCCTAAGACATGGCAATGGTAGGCTAATGAACCGTCTCCGTCTATCGTTATACGTTGATTTTTAATAGCAAAACGTAAAATAGCTATTGTATTTCTCTTTCACCTCTGAAATAACTGAGACAATATGATTTTTTATTTTACGGCATAAAAAGCTAATACAAAATACAAAGTCGACTAAGTCGTTATAACGATTAGGTGAAAAATACGATTCAAATAACACCAATTTATATTGAAGAAAAACAATTTGAAAGTTCCAGAGCCAAAACAGGTTTTGAGATTTTTTTTAGTTACTATCTACCAGTATCAACTGGTTTTATCGAGTTTAAAATATTTTTTACAATGTAGTAATCCTTGAAAAACCAACTTGCTTAACTTAGCTTTGGATTATAAATACTTAAATCAACAGAAAAAAAATGATAGCTATTGAATTTAACACAAACTTTGTTATGTCTTGGACACATTTTGAACTTAGGTTATTTGTAATATTCCTAGATATATAATTAAAAAACAACACAATAAATCTACACTAATATTATAAAGGGGAAAAATTCTTACACAATTATAAGTCTAGTATCACCGGCAATATTTAATATTATTATAATAAGTTAAAAAAAAAGTCCACTCCAGAATTAGAATTAGCCATTAGTACTTAAATAAACTAACTCAATACTTACTATTTCAGCATTATCTGTAATATTATCTAAAGTTAACATGCTCTTTATCCCTTCAAAGTAAACATCCGTGTCAAAATTCCTCTCTTCTAAGTACATCAAATAAAATACCACATTGACATCATTTATAGATGTACAAGCGATATCAGATGAATCTCTTGCTGAAGCTGCTTCTACTAAGACATAATCATTGGTGTATGATGTATGCAAGTATGGTGATATTGATGGTTGGAATTCCATGTTACAGCCGCCAGGCACAGGATCTTAAACAATAATTATGGACTTTTATCTATATTATTAACCAATTGTGTTTAATTCCGTACATTTTTCCAAAGATCTGAACAATTTTTCACCGCACAGATTGATATTCAGTCTGTCCTTCGTATTATAAAAAGGAGTGCAATAAAATAAAAAAGAAGGAAATTAAAGACATGGTTGAACTTTTTATTTTTAAAATAATCTTTTCCTATCCTCATCCCTAATTCAATAAGTTAACTATCTTCACTATGTAGGCTTACAAAATATATTTAATGGTCAACATAATCTCATGAGCATTATAAATGTAAAAGTTTAAAGGGATGTTTGTAAGAATAACAGCTCAATGGACCGAAATTTGGTATAGATGTAGAACAAAGTCGGGATGAATGCATTGGCTATTAAGTATTTTAATTCTGCACATATAAATAAAAGTGTTAAATACATACCTGTACTTCCATAGCCGTGTACTACAATATACAGCTTTATATCAACTGTATTCTGATTGGAAACATAAAACTTGTCCAATGGTGGCTTCACACTACTATACAATCCAATATTTGTGCCATACACCGAAGAACTTCTTGTTAATGTATTATTATACACGGTAACATTATAATGATGACTATGTACTTGAAATATTATAAATGATATTAATTTTGTACCATTTACAAAACCAACTTGAAGAGTTGATGATGCATTCAGATTAACAAATTGGCCAAATACTTCTTTATTTGATATACTAGTTGTTTTGTTTAAAGGTATTGTTAATGTTACATCTGGAAAAAAAAACTTATTGATAATCTTATTATTATACACAAATTAAGGTACTAAGGTAAGGTAGATAAAATATTTTACATTTTTAGTTTTGACACTATGATAAAAAACAGATATATTTTCAACGGAAAAAACCTAGTTAATTACCGACATCCAAATATGTTAAAAAAGTACTCACTTTGTGTTTTAACTCCCAGAAGACAAACAAACAAGAATATAACAAAACTCAAATAGTATTTAAAACTAGAACCCATTTTGAAGTAAAATACTAAGATTAACAATAAACATATTATTCATAGCACATTTTAAAAAGAAATAGTTCTAATAATTAGGGCCAAACTGTCACATATATCAGCTGTTTGTTTTGACAGATTTAAAATCCATGAAATTCGGCACAACAAGCTACTGAATCTTAAAGTACTTTTATCAATATGAACTTATTGAGATAACTTCATAGGTGAGAAGTATTTTGCCACCATTATCACTTCATTGAACTTAATGGATGTTGATACCGATAGTTATAATAATTATTTAAACAAAGTACAGCTCATATATTTATTAAGTTCAGCTCACTTATTCAACTTCAACTCAGTCAGACTCAGACGAACGAACGAACGGGAACGAGAATGAACGAACGACACAAACTGACGGCATAAAATAGAGTGAGATGGGAATCATAACAAAACAGTAAGAGTAAGCAGGACAGCTGCTTTTGTACTTGTTGGTTGTAAGTAGTTTCCATAGTAAAAAGAAATGTGTCAATTTGTTTTTTGATATTTTTATCGTTTTAACAACTTAAAGTATTTAGATTTTAAATCATTAACATTGTAAACAAGTTGTTATACAAAACAAAACAGTGAAAAAAGCAAATAAGTCAGTAAACGTAATAACTTGTGACGTGACCGACTTTGCAAGCATCTCGATATCGATTCTCCTGTTGGCCGCTAGAGCGCACTCACGTCTAATTCTAAATATGGCGGCACGATCAATGAAGTAGTAGAGTGTAGTGAAGTCTAGTGTAAAAAATTGAAATGTTCGAGGTCTGTGTTAGTTTGTGTATGGTATGATCCAATAAATGGGCCATGGGAAGAGGCCAGGAATTATTAGATGCCGCGCGTGAAGGCCATAGGTGGACTGTGGAGAAAATTCTCGGTCAAATAACTAAAAGGAGTGGTCCGTTTACAAGGTACGTGCTATTCATGTTTTGCGAATTAAGATTAAAATAAAGGACTTCAGTAGGTTTCATGGTTTCTATCTTTTTGTATTATAATACAATGAATATGTTTTCCAAACTTCAGGCAAGAATTTGACTATATTAGCGTCTGAAACTGGTTTTATTACAATGTTTACTATTATATCAATGAACCGAAGGCAGAAAGATAAGAATTGTAATTAGATTCATTGGTTTTTCTACCTTTAAATACGACTTTAAATACCTTATGAGGTATTTGATGTCGATAGCCTTAAAATAAATACAAGGTAAGGAAAGAAAAGATTGCAAACTGCATTCGCAAAGATCTGAATGATTTTAAAAAACCAAAAATAAATAATTATATCATAAAATCAAAATCAAATCCACTCTTATAAATTGAATTTTGCTTTTAATGTATAGCATTTATTTAAAGTACGTTTCACTTCACTGTTTATGATCAATATGTAATGTTCATTAATTTCCCTGTAATTTGGGTGAATTTTGCCAAATATGGTAAAAATACGAAGACATGATTTTTTTTTGTGTTCAATATTGTTTTCTGATGATGAATACTTTTAGCAATGCAAAACCAAGAACAATGATAAATAAAAGTTTTTATTTTAATACGTCACATTTACATAGTTCACATTGCCTTGTGCCTTAAGGTTCGTTTTCACTACGCATATTTATTTAATTTGGGATATATTAAAATGGCACATTTTGCACAATTTGTTTCACATCTATTTTATAATGAACCTCATGTTCATTGTAATAAGGTATATTTTGGTAATTTATCTGCAGAGTATTTTATAATACAAAATGTTATATGAATAACGATTTATTATTATTTTAAATTTAATTTAATTCCTTGTATTAATAAATATATGTTAAACAAAAAAAATCGGCATCAAGTATATGAATGCGATACAAAATGAATAAAACAGGTTTTTGTGCATACAATTTGGTTTTCAAAGTTAATTTAAACACGCTACTACATTACGCTAAGTTACAAAATAAGTATTAAAGATACGAAATTTTGATAAAATTATTACCTATTTTAGATGTCTCGAAAATGAGAAACGGTCATAACTTATCTATTTAAGGAAGTTAGGATAACTCAACCATAAAAGTGAAGTGCTTGGACTCTTGCCAGACGGCAATCGATGTTGAGGTGCGTTGAACTTTTGTCTGTCTGTCCGCACCTTTATCCTATTCACCCATATAGCGGGATGGTGCAGTCGACACATCATTTGCGTATATTAATATGTAGGAAACGTTTTGCAGTCATTCTGCGAATTCATTAATTGGTCTATGACACTGCAATCGCTACCTATAGGCTCCTACATACGTACTTACAAACATACATACTAGACTGAGGTGTAGTGAACAGGTTTGTTTCTTCTTACCAGCCTTGATACTCAACTTTGTACACTTTGTAAATGTTGCCAGCATTGTTATCAAACTAACAAATTTACGAAAAAGAACGGTTTTTTTTTTTTCATATAATTAAAACTATGACATTGTAACTAACGCCAAGCTTGAATTTTCGGTAGCTAAAAATTCACTTATATTCCAGTAAGTCGAAGACTGGGCTCTTTCGGAGCCTGTTTTATTAGACAACGATCAAGAGGTCCATTCTAAAAAATCGAAGAGTTTATAATGTTTTGATGCTCAAGATAAGACACGATCTTCATAATGACATTGAAACCAAGCTATTCTCTACGTCGAACATAATCCATGTTATTTCTTTGCAACAATCAATTTCTTACACAACAAAGCACTTGTCGACGTTTACGTGATAAGATTTTCTCGTCATAGGTACATAATTTACTTTTAATTAACCTCACTAGTTTGGCCTCTATTTATGTGAAGGTCAAAACATCAGCTTGCCTTATTAGTCGACTTTTATCCGTTCGCATCAACTCCACTTGTAGCTCGTAGTTTACAATTAGTGATCGGAAATTCCGGTACTGTATGCTAATTTTGTTTGTTGTGTTTACTCACAGCTAGTTACGGGCAACTCGACTAAAATTGATGAACTGCAAATCAGCTCACGGTTCACATGTGTAAGCAGATCAGTGAACCGGTTCGGATATCAGCTCAATTTGTGCCTCCATAGAGTTATGATTTGCGTTTCGAGCTGTCAACTACGAGTAGAGTACGAGTAAAGTACATCACGATAAGCCGTGAGCTGCTAACTTAATTGTTGAGGTGCAGCTCAATGGTTGAAATCAATGTGACCTAAACTTTTGAATCTGTTCAGAGCTGATTTACACACATTTGCTCATTGCTGCTCGGACTGTGGTCAGTTTATATTTTTGTGTGTTTGAAACAAATAAGGTCAAAACCTACACGACCGATTTAATAAAAATTCTTAGACCATTCTAAATTTGATTCTTTTTTAATCAATTTAAATAAATATAAATAAAATGTGCATTGCGAAGCGGGGCCTGGCCACTAGTTTGTACACTAAAGGAAAACTAATTGTCTACTACGTAAAAACCTAAAAACTTTTCCTTTATAAATTTAAAACAAAAATAAAAAAGGTTTTACAATATATGGAATGTTTGAAGGGTTATCGCGGAGTAGTTAAATCGTCGCAGGCAACAGTTCGTAATATGATGCGGGGATTTCTACACGTGTGGCCTGAATTTATTCAGCGCTTGATTAGCAGGAGAAAGCTATTTACGCTTGGTAGCACAGGCCTCTGCCATATGTTTTGTACAAATGTTATCGTATGGATTCATTCTTTATACCCGGCTAATGGTATTAATTTGTTGTCATGACGCACTGGTTGATTAATTGACTCTAATAGCTTGGCAAAAAGGATTATATCGTTGGTTGGAATTCAATTTACACTTTATTTTCGACTCCGTGTTCTCGTATTAAAAAAAAATACTAGTAAAATATACCCTATGCCAGCCGAGTATAGTGTATCTACCCAACAGTCAAAGATTTTTTTCAAATCGGTTCAGTAGTTTCGGAGTCTATTTGGTACAAACAAACAATAAATTCGTATAGATATTGTTATCTCAGATTTTTCAAAGAGATTGAAAGGGATAGGCAATATGTTTTGATTGTTTGGCTGCGAAAATTCACAACCGAACGTTCAAACAATCCTTTGTAGTGTTAGTGTAAATAAGAAGCGTAATAGCAGTTTATTTTGCAAGCTTAGGTCAGGTAACGGTACGGCTCTACTGCGACTGGTCATTAGAACACTTTGTTACCTAGCTATAGCACTTGTTACAATTTTAGACCAATATTAGCCTTCTTCCTGTTTGACATTTCAAATGTTGTTTGTTTATGCTAAAAATAAAATCAGTATATTTTAATCGAATCCACAACCGACATGTTTTTTTATTAGAGATAAACTAAACGTAGGCCGCTAAACTCCCAAACTCTAAAAATATGTGCGATAAATATTATGTAGTATTATTTTCCTAGAATTTAAATAGCCACTCCCATAACAGGTCTTCTTCTTATCTGCATATTTAATCGGTAGATAAAAAAGCACGCACAAGCATTTACTTAACGATATGCTGATTTTTTATGCAACATGAATTTAATTTTAACCGACTATGGTCATACATTGTACAGGACGTATATGTTTTGTATGACCAAAGTCCATTGTTCAATGTTATTAGTAATAGTTTCCTTATATCCAATACATTTCATTTCGGAATAAAAAAATGATATTTTATTGCATTCAGATCCAATACTTCAAAGTCTTACCAGAAACATGTTGCAGAAACTTTGCCTATCTTACTAATATTAAGAATGCGAATGTATATACGGATGGATGGATAGATTATAATGTGGATTGGAACGAGGTATAAAATGCATCAACTTTAGATTTGTGATGTTTAATATAGAATTTACAGAGACACGCAATAGTAGGTCGAGTTTTAGCGATCGGTGTAAAATTTGCATTGTGTCGTTCTGAGAACTAGTTCAAGCAGGCTCGCATTATGCGACCATTGTGTTTCAAACAACCGCCATTCTCTCGTAATTAATAAAGATCCAGCTATAACGAACAGAATTTTGACACGTTTGCGATTTATATATAATGTAATAGAATAAAGCACATGTGCTTCAATAAATTTGATCGGTAATTCGAAGAGTGAAATAAAAAAAAATCTTTATAAAAAAAATTACCTACTCAAAACTTATAGTAACTTAATACTTATTTACTTTACTTACACTTATTTAGCTTTGAATGTCAGGCGAATGATTTATAAGAAAAGAGAGATAAATAAAAAAAAAACCTTTGTAAATTAAATAAATACATGTGGGTTTTTTCTTCCTATTATGTATATGTTATTAAAATTAAAAAAAATATATATTTTCATAGGACGAGACTACATAGAAAGAAGAACGGAATTGT